GTGTTATAAATACAATATATAAAATGTATAATTACACAATTTTTTAAAACATGCTTTCTTTATATCAATTGATTTATCTCATTAGTCTATATAAAAGTACTGAAAGTAAAATCATCAGAAAAACCGAATATTTTTATGTCGAAATACGTGAGAATAAAAAATAAAAATCTAGTAAGCTATTGATTTTTTTGATAACTTTACCTGAATATTTTTACATGCAGAATAATTAGATAATCATATTACCATAAAAAATTACACAATTCTATTTTTTTTAATATCGTTTTTTAATTATCTCGCAAAAAATATTTGATATGAAAGAAATACATAGTCGTGTTTGCGTCCTGAAAATGTGAAACTTTTTTAAATATTGTTTTCCAAAATTGAGAAACAATTGAAATGTTTTGTGTTTGCAATGAAATGACAGAACACTTTTTCGTGTCTGTTTGCATGCATATATGTGCATGTATTATACATATATATATTATATGCTCATCCTCAAAGTTTTAGATGAATTGGATTAAATTCTAAATTCGAAATAAATAATATATAACAATAATATAGTTCTATATGTTTATTAATATATTAATAAGTATATATAAAATATATATTGTGGTGAAATTCTAATTTTAAATTCTACCTGAATTTTAATTCTATTTAGTTGTTTACTGACCTACGATAGTTGGTCCGTCGTCCGCTTGGATAGTCAACGTATCCGGCGGAGGGAGTGAACGCGAATTTAATCGTCGGAGAGCGTCTTCCTCCGAATCGGAGCTCGTTTCTGGATCCGAGTAGGAGAATGCCTTCCCTACACGGTAAAATTATATTGATTAATTATTATGAATTTTATTATTCGCATCGCGAAAAACCGCAAGTATATGAACTACAAAAATTTGGTACAATTTGGGAGTCTATAATAGATCGACCGACTACTTTTTTTATCTCGTTAGAATTATTTAATAAACTTGAAATTGTTATCGCAAAATCAAGAGGAGTAAAATTTAATTTGAAAATTTGAAATGGGAAAAATGTGCTAGGAGAGATCGGGAGTTGGAAATTCGGGATATAAATCATGATCATGTACCTATGTTTTTCGAGATTTGAGATGTGGAGCTGTTGGTGGACTCACAGAGAGGCACACAGACACCGCCGAAGAGCGCGGTGGACGAGGGCGGCTGGAAGCACCACTTCCGGGATAGGTAAAGAAAGAGAGCCAGCAGGAGCACTACGAAACCGGCAACGGCACCCAAAACTGCAGTCGCTTCCACAGGTACTGAAACATTCCGAGATGTCGGATTTAATATAAATTTGTTGAGAAACGTATATTATTTTTATAAAATTTCTTTAAAAAATATAAAAGATTTTTTAAATACATAAAAAAGATTTTACAAATATTTAAAAAAATTTTACACATCCTTTTTAAAGGATGTAAAAGAAGTATAAAATTTCTTCACAGGATATGTAAAGGATGTGTAAAATTTCTTTAAAAAAAATTTTGTAAAATTTTGTAAAAAAATACACAATTTCTCTTAGAGGCATAATATAGATTACTTCTATTATACTCATAAAATAGCATCGTACTTGCTTAACACGGGGCAATTATCAGCACGGTACATTAAAACGATATGCTTCTCATTTGCTCTCAAATGCAAAATAATCTTTCTTCATTTTATTGCGCGCAGTTAATTAACTAATGTGTAACATCAAGAATAGAAGTTTGGTCTATATATACTGCAGGATGTACGCAGAGCGCTTCCATATATTATTATTATTATTATTATACGCTCATGAATGATAATCAAAATAATATTAAAAAATGCGATTGACTAACATAATATGATTAAAAAAAAAGAATACGAAGCTTTTGTTTTCCTACTTAATTAACTGTCGTAACGGTGGAAAAAAAAATGACCCGAAGTGAAGCCAAAACGTTCATGACATCAATTATGGATATCACATTCTATTAAAGAATACTGCACGTCGTACAATTTACGTACTGACGACCGCTTTGCCACACTCATTGCCCTTTATTAATTTCTCTGTTTGACTTTACAATTAGAAGTCCTTTTAATATTTCATTTTGTCCTGCACACGAAACTTTTGTTTGATCACGTATAGGCAGCATGTAATAATTATTATCATTAAATTATTATATTTGTTATTTCAATTAAAGAACGTATACGTTCTGTACGGCAACAAGAAATAAACAGAGTGCGGAGAAAAATAAACATAAAGGAGAGTAAATAAAATAAGCTGATAAACTAAATAATAAAACAAAATAAATAATTAAATAAAATAGACTCTCTCTCTCTCTCTCTCTCTCTCTCTCTCTCTCTCAAGAAGGTAGACGGAGTCTTTTTCTCGTGTGCAAGTCTCCGTTTTCTCAGAAAGCTAATTATAAAAATCGGAAAACCATCCGTGTACTCTCTCTCTCTCTCTCTCTCTCTCTCGCCCCTCTTGAACTTGGGGATTTTAGCCGCGGTATAGAATTATCGGATGTGTATCGTGTGTGGCCGTGTCGTATCGAGCGCGCGTTAAACGTGGCGGCGACATATTACGCCGTATAATGACCTGGAATAATTTATTATCGCTCCAGTTGTGACAAACTACCTGCGACGATACGGAATTGCGCAGCGTTGCACGCACGTTTCCCCGAAGCGCGGTGTGCGAAAGGAATTTAAAAGAAAAAAAAATCAACCTCCCTCCCTTCCCAACCCGTCCGAGATCTCGGCGGTTCTTGATCGTCGCGAACTTCCCCCATTCTTCCCAATCGCGATCGATTTTACTTCAATCGCACCTTCCAGAAACGTCCGTCGTCAACAATCGTACATACGTCGCGCACCTCCAGAAACGTTAAATTACGTCGCTCGTGGAAATTTGGGGATCCACTCGCGCGCGTCGAGGATCCTCGATCGTTCGTAGCCGCCTCTTTTTTTTTAATTCTTCTGTCTTACAATCCTAAAAAAAACAAGAAAAAAAGTCAAACGCAAAGGATCCGATCCAGTTAGAAGCTAACGATATTGATTCAAGGCCTGATTTCCAACGCGCCTGAAAGGAAAACAGAGAGGAGAGAGAAAGAGAGAGAGGCCGCTGCCGTTCTCGGAATTCGCGTAGCAAGCTTCGCGATTTTTTTCGCGTGGACGCTTTGCATTCCCGTCACCAGCTTATGAACTTAGCGAATACCTACATACGCGTTTCGCTCGCGTGCGATACGCGGCCGTGCGTCGTCGGGACGACCGACGTGACCGGGAAGTCACGACGGGGACTGGGGGAGAGAGAGAGCCCATCGCCGGGGCGAGGAGTCCCGGCCGGAGATAGTGGACTTACCCGCTAAGAAGTGGTCTGATCCAGCCAGAATCATACTCGTCCGCGGTGTCGCATTAAGGTGCTTCTCTTTACGCGGCACGGTGGCGCGGCCGGGGTTGCGCGGTTCCCTCGCGGAACAGCGAATGCATCGTCCGCCCTCGGCAGCGGGTGTCCGAGGTCGGCCACAGCGGCGGCGGCGGCGGGTCGCTTTCCCCGAGGTGGAGGAAAAACCGTGGTTAAGCGTTAAGGCTGGCGGCCTGGCCTGGCGCGCTACGGGGGGGCTGGCGAGCCGCGCAATAATACGTGGGCGGGGGTGTACACACACGGGGGCACTCTGTTGCTCCCTCGCGAAACCACCGACCGACGACGGACGCCGCGACGTGTGCGCGCGGTGCGGCGTGCGCCTGCTGCGCCGAGGACCCGTCGTACGCGCGCGCGTGCGCGATGCCGTGTCGTCGGCGTCGTCGCTCGTCGCTCGGGAACCGCGATGAGGCGCGCGAGCCACCCCCGAGAGCACCCATTCTTCTCCCCCCCTCCCTTCCTCTCCTCGTCACCCCAAGAATGGATGTGTGTATTATGTATGTACGCGACCGTATACGTATGTATATGTATATACGTACGCAGCGGTACGGATCGGACAGGGGCTCTTCGATCAAACTCTAATTAAGCCTTTAATCGGCGATTAAGTCGACCGGCGAAATTGCTTACGGCAAATTTTTTATTTATATATGTATAAGCGAGCCGATGAGAGCGGCTTGAGTCCATCCCCCGATGAAGAAAAATTCTCGTAATATTTTTAAGAATTTTATGAAGATTTCTGAAAAATGCATTATATATATACAATAAATTCTGGAAAATTATACGAAGAGTTAACACATAGTTTACCAAATATAATAATTTATTATTTTCAAAATTAATGATAAATTTTAAAAGTGATTAATTGATTATGACAAAAAGTCATAATTATATAATTATACACATTTACTTAATTTTTATCAGTTTTTAGCTTATTCGATATTTCTAATTCTAATTTGCAACTTCTATTTTTTTTTATTAACTAATCTTATTGCCTAAGTAAAATTTAATCTAATACATTTTTTATTTTATTTTCTTAAATAATTACGTATAAAATAAATAATTAATACTGAAATCTTTCTACTTATAAGTTCGATTTAGTTATAAAAATTAGTTATATAATTATATAATTATAATAAGTTAAATAATAAAGCTAAGTGGGGTTTGAGTCTCCGCTAAGTGACGTTCGAATGCGCGCACGCTATATAAAATAAATTATGCAGGAGAATAATCAATAATCAATAAAAGAAAATATAAATCTCCGCTAAGTGGGGTTTGAATCTCCACTAAATGTGATTCGAGTCTCCGCTAAGTAAGGTTTGAATCTTCGCTAAGTGGGGTTTGAGTCTCCGCTAAGTGACCGCGGGTTCGAATGCGTACGCGCGCTATATAACTGCTACAAGTGCAGGAGCATAAATTTTATTAATTTAATAATAAAATAAAATAATTTTATTTATTTAATTTTATTTTCGTCATCTCTTGTACATCTTTTCGGCTTGTCGAAAAGATAACTTAAAAAAAAGACAACTTTTCGTTATCTTTTAGTTTTTTATTATGCTGTCTGGGATTCATATTGCGGCGGAAAGTATATAGGTATACCTACGTAACTTACGTCCAATCACGTTAAATATGTATATACGTCCAATAACTGCAAATCTAACCTCAAAAGTAAACGTTTCTCGCGAGTGTATGTATGTACAGAAGACATGCGCATATTCTGTGCAAATAATTTACGTCTGAGACGTATCGTGGATTATTCCAGAACTTACGGAAAATAAACACACAAAGTCGCGCTCCGTTTAAATTAAAACAAACAAATTAGGGTAAATATTTCCGGCGCGACAGTGTGTGTGTATCTGTGGGTGCCGGTAAGTTTATACAAATTAAAGACATTTTCGATGCTCGATGCTTTGATGATCAAGCCTAGAATTGAAATTTCGTAAAAATAATATAATTCACTGAAAATAAAACAATATTCCACTATTTATCTTTATAATCAGATACAGACTATAGGTTATATTATTTGTGAAAGTAATTGTATTTTTTTTTTACTCTCTTTTTCTCGCGTAGGAGGAAATAATTATGAACTGCTTCACTGTTCTACGGTTGAAACACTTTACAGCTTTAAACAAGAGTCTAATAGAGCATTGCTTGACACGGTATGTAGTACCTGCGTGCCAGGCCAGATTCTACGTCGCCGAGAGCGAGAATCGTTACAGGCAGCGTGTCAGCCCGAATGGACGAACGCAGAAGAAAGCGCTGCGAATACGTCTAGTGCAAAACTTCAAACACACGAGGAGAAAAGTAGAGGAGATTATTGAAAGGGAGAACATCTGGACGATACCGAATCTGCTTTGCATGGGTCGTATTGTAACATCGCCATTCTTAAGCTACTTGATCCTCTCGCAAGATTACAAGGTAATATAATATTTATGATACAATATGACAACAATATATTTGTTAAACGTATATCTCGTCCTCACAATGCACATCTGTTTATATATATCATAATAACAATTTCTAATTTTGAAGAGCAAGAAAAATTTTTTTCATGTTTTGACGAAATATATATTTTTAAATGTATCTACATATATTTTTTTAATTTTCCTTTATTAATAATATAATAAAAGAAATTTAAATGCATTGACATCGAAAATTTGCGATATTAATTCTCTACGATTAATTTTAAGTACTTGATGTACAGATGTCATATTACATCTTCAAAGTGTAGGTATCTTTAATAATATTTATACCATGACGCAGATAGCGCTGTGGCTGCTTGCGTTCGCCGGGCTGAGCGACCTGGCGGACGGATGGATTGCGCGCACCTGGACGTCGCAGGCGTCGAAGCTCGGAAGCTTTCTGGATCCTTGCGCGGACAAGCTGCTCGTCGGCACGCTCTTCCTCTCCCTCGCGTGGGTCGGTCTGATACCGGTCCCGCTCACCTGCCTTGTTGTCACGCGCGACGTTGTTCTAGTAACTGCTGCATCTTACATCAGATATCGTTCCTTACCTCCACCAGTATGTATCGTGCACTTGTTCATTCTATCACGTATCGCTTCATTGCTAAAATAATGGCATAACTCAAAGATTGCTATTTTTTTAGTTGGTTGTAGAAAAAAGAATAAAAACCTAAAAGAAGAAAAAAAGGAAAAACGTACTTTAAAAGAATAAATACTAACAATAAGATAGAAAAATAAGATAGAAGAAAAAAAAGAATAAAATATAATTATTACATTTATTTAATTTTCATTAATATTTCATATATTTCTAATATTTCCAGTTTGCAACTTTTGCTTTTTTTTTAATAACTTTTAATTTTATTGTTTAAATAAAATTTAATACACTTCTGTTTTATTTTTTGAAATAATTGTGTATATAATAAATAACTAAAATCTTAAAACGTACTTTTACTCCTCTGCACAATCAACAACGAAGTTCTTACGTCAACATTGCATATAAAATTAATGCAACAAAATTTTAACGATTCAAAAATTCACATTCCAACTTATTTTATGGAAAACTCGTCTCTTGAGTTGTGTCAGCAAATGAGCGATAATTCATTTAACTGAACGTATTGCCGGATTAATCCTGACGCGATATACTTAATTTCAGAAAACCTGGGCGAGATATTTTGATCCCACCCATGCTACCGTGCAATTAGCGCCGACTCTGACAAGCAAGCTGAACACCGGGGTGCAACTGACTCTGGTTGCTGGAACGTTGGCCGCTCCGGTTTTCCACTTCGTAGACCACCCGATCCTGCAATGTTTGTGCTACCTGACGGCATTCACAACGATCGCAGGAGGTGTCAGTTATCTATTGTCGAAGGACACGTATAAATTGTTGACGAAGAAGAAGACTCCAACACGAACGACACCTTAGAGCTCAGACTGTACATTATATGTATGATATTGTATGTATGATATTATATGTTCAAATTTGTTACTTAGACGATGTACATTACTTCCTTTTGTACTATTATGACCACTGTTTTGTACAGAGATCAGCAATCCTTTCTGAATTTTAAAGTCTTTTGAAGAAAAGTATATACTTGTACGAAAGATTTTACATGTATAAAGTTTTGTAAAGCATGATATTTAATAATAATAAACTCTTAATTTTTATTATGGAAAAATGGCTTTAAATTGTTACAGGGAACAATTGCTATATTCGTGCTCTTTCAAGTCTATTTTGTATAAAATTTCCTATTTTTTAGTCTATTCTTTTTACCTATCCTTATAGCAATTTAGTGCAAAAGAAATCGTGAGTTTATTTGCATAAAAATATTAGTAAATATACTAATAATTACAAACTATATTCTAATAATAAAAAATTTAGTATCATATGAAAAATTTTTCTATGATTTTTATAATCAGTTGTGGCTATAATTAGAGCTGTAGATGTAATGGTGAATATTGATTTATTTGACAGTTAAAAATTTTCATAAGACATTTTCTTATAAAAATGAATAAATGAATTTTGTATTTTGGCTCTTGAAAATTTATAATGAATGAAAATATTTTTTTTTAGCTTCTTTTTTGCGTTGCTAGAAAAACTCGTACAAAGCTAGATTTTTGCATTCTGCCTTTTAAAAATCTGCAATAACTACAGAAAATCTAATCTGTACTTTGTAGTGTAATAATCTACTACCTGAGGACTCTGTCTGCGGCTGTCTGAACCTAACCTGAATTCCCAACGTTCTCCAAGGGTCGAGATCCGCTTAGAATTAATTCTTAGAATTCTTGACTCTTGAACGTAGTTTCGCAGAATTATGAACGAGAAATAATTTTATATTGTAATAGACACTGTATACATTTGAAGTGCTGTATAAAGTGTATATAATTTCTGTAATGTAAAACGTAATTCGAAAGTAACCTAGCCTGGCAGTCCCCGTATATAATCTCAGGCAGATATGAATACGCGAATTTTTCGCAGAATATTAACGGATTTTACGATTGGCAGAAGAAAACTACACACGACCGCGGGCTTGTCAAATTTTTATGAGTCTAATCGAAAATCGGGTTACAAGACAATATACGATAGACCACCGCCGGAGCAAAATTTGAGTATCCTCGGTAGAATATGCGAGGGATACCGGCAGTTCAGGGAGGAGTTCGGCATCCTGATGGAGGAGGTGAGGGAACGACTTAGAATGGATCCCATTGTTATATACAGGCAGGACGAGGTCGACGCCGTGTGGCGATTTAAGGGCAATCCGAAGGCACTGGATCAGTGGGTCATCACGTGCGACAGCGATTACAACGAGGGCTATTCGACGGTCAAGTGGGTATAAATTGTACAAATATTTTGACATGGTGTACATTTTTCGAATATTTACATTATTTACATTTCCTCTCTTCCAGATTGGAGCTGTCCTCCACCGGCACCGGAGTGTTCTCCGGCACGTTGAGCACCCGTTTGCCCAAGGACGGCAGGATCAAGTACGCCGGCTACTGCAACATGAACAGCATACCGAAACGCAAGTCCTTCAAGCGCGAGGTTTACTACGACTGGACGCCGTACACCCACATCGTCCTTCGTGTCCGAGGGGACGGCAGATGCTACGTGCTGAACATCGCCACCAGGGGCATCTTCGACCTGACCTGGAACGACGTGTATCACTACGTGCTCTACACCAGGGGCGGCCCGTACTGGCAGTACGTCAGAATACCGTTCTCCAAGTTTGTATTCTCGAGCAAGGGCAGGCTGCAGGACAGACAGGCGCCAGTCGAGCTGAACGAGGTTTCGAATTTCGGTATATCGCTGGCGGACGACGTTTCCGGCCACTTCAGACTAGAAATCGATTACATCGGATTGGAGCGCGACGAATTCCACACGGAGGAGTTCGCTTATGAAAGTTACAATGTTGCTGACATCAGATTTTAGTATGTATATATACATATTAAATATGGTAAAAAGAAAAATGTGTAATTTTACTGTCTGTGCAGAGGTGAAATTATAGTAGGAAAGAAAGGAATATACATTGTACAGTGTGAATAATAAATTTGTATCTAATTTAATTTATTCAGTAAAATGAATGAAAAACGAGCTTGTTTACCATCACATTTATTTACTTGTGAAAGAAAGTCATAGGATATTAAGATTTCGAATAGTTTCTGTTGTTTTTTCCTTCTAAATATCTGTCCAAAAGTACTCTATATAGAGGCCCTTCTGTAGCGATGTATAGTAGAGCAAGAGATATTTTCATTAAATATTTTACTTATAAAATTTTTTCACATGTGTTAAATTGACGATTGGACGAAAAGTTTCCTATTTTTTATTTTTATTTTTTTTATTGAGTTTGTCGACTAAATTACGTGTTTAATAATTAATTTTTACATATTCATAAAATTTGAATGAATGATCTATACAATGGATTTACACCAGATATAACTTGATAGAGAATTCTATTTATATAATTCTTTATGCCTTGTATATTTTAATATATATATTTTTCATATTTATTTAAATGTATTATTTTGATTCTTTAAGAGAACGTTCTCTATGTTGTATGGCACATAAAATTATAAACAGAGATTTTTAACACACGAATTATAGATCATTTAAATCAGATCTTAAACTACATGAATTTGTATGTGTGTGCGCGCGCGCGTGTATGCTTGGCACGTGTTTGCGTGTACTATTTAATTTAAATATAAATTTTATATTGAGTTAAATTTAAGTAAAAAAAGAAATTAATAGGAAAGTATTTGGGATTTGCCAGTTTTTGCACTTGTTTGGTTACTTTTTATACAAATGATAGAATTTATAAAAAAACAAAAATAAAATATGAAAAAAGGTGTACCATCCCTTGTGGGGATCGAACCCACGACCTTTGGATTAGAAGTCCAACGCGCTATCCTCTGCGCCAAAGGGACTCAGTACTCATCCTTCCAACAAAAGTAATATAGCGCTATTAATTTCTTTAAGTAAAAAAGATAATTAATTTTTATATATTATTTCAATATTTTATTATTAGAATTTTTTGAGAATGACGAAAATTATCTTAAGAGGCAAAAAATGTACTTTTTTTCTTCATGAGATTAAGAAGCTGAAAGATCATTGAGAGAATGAAAAGATTTACAAGATTATTTGAGAAACAGCACAATATTTATCGGAGTCATATGGGCTGACAAATTCCAAATACTAAAACAATTATGCGATATAAAATTTTTTTTATTATGATATAATAATAAAAAAAATTAGCGGACCATTTTAACTTAAATTTATAAACTTCCATCATTTCAATTAGTTTTAGCAATATTATACATTTCATAATTTTGTTAATTTTTTTCAAGTCAGTTGTAATAACACTCACGATTTAAGAGATACTTGCAGTAATTTGAGAAAAAACGTATCTGACCCCCATGGGCGTATCCAGAATTTCAAGGGGGAAGGAAGGGGGCAAAAATTTATCTTTGCACAAAACTAATTATTATAACACTTATGGTATTTAACTGCGAAAGTTCTCTAGCTGTTCTCTAGAAAAGCTGTTCTCTAGAAAATCACAGTGCTACTTACCAAATGGACCAATGCACCTTATAATCTTACATCGTGGTCAATGAGCGTTTAACGTCCATAAAAATAATTTTCATAATTTAATTTTTTTTCCTTGTCAACATTTAGGGGAGGACAAGGGCCCCTCCTTGCCCCACCTTGAGTACACTCATGATCTCACCTGAAAAAATCGAGAATCTATTAGTTTACGTTTGATGTGAACACACGTTTATGATTGTTCACGTAACAAATAATAGTAGTATTTAGTATTAACTTTAACAAGAAGATTGTAATAGCAGAACAACTTTCTCATAAATCTGAGAACTTTTCTGAAGTACACTGTAAAAAGATCTTCATGTTTTAATGAGTTTCCCGTTATTATATATGTGTTTAAGGGCGATGTTAATGCTCACATTAATGCATTTGTTGAATTTATTGTGACATAAAAAGTGCTGCTTTAGAATTTCTAAATTATTGCACGAAGAGAAGAGAAAAGTGTGGGAAAATTTAATTACAAATATTTTAGAGACTTATAAAAGTAGAAATAATAAAATGGCATTATAAAATTAATAACAAAATAAAAAATTAATCAGAATTGATTCTAGTGATTTTATTGAAATTAATCAAAAATTGAATGCTTATGTAGACATTGAAAAAGTATTCTTAGATTTTTTTACTTTGGTTCATTTTAATTGAAAAAAAAAGTTTGATATGGGAATTCCAGATATGTTGCTTGATAACTTCTCGACATATTTCATATAACATTGTCACAACAGATTTATTTTTTGGCGTTGAGATGCTATAATTTCGTCGCTTAATTATACGTGTGCAGTTCAGTCGCGAATAATTTGTGAGAATTTTATTTAGCAATGATTTAGAAATATTAAAATTTTGCTGCGTGTGCTACTGTTTAAATATGAAGTGAGTACAGAGATAAATAGCTAAAAGTTGCAAAATTAGATGTGTTCAATCCCCGCTTATAGATCAAAGCTTAACGTTCAAAAATTTCCAAGGATACACCTTTCCGAAAGATTATTCTGCAATTTCTGCATGAATTTTGCAATACAAATATATACTCGAATTTTTAACGAATGCCTTGATATGTTTTAAAACTTTAAAACGCATATTATAACTGTATTTGCACACGAATGTATTTTAATAAAAAATCGAAAATTAATCGAGAGTTAAAAAATTTACAAATATTAACGGTGACGCATTAAATGTATCAATTTTTAACTCGCGACTCTGATTTATCAGCTTAGCAATGACCGTGCGAAAATACCGTTGAATAGCTTTGTTGCTTTGCTGCCATTCGGAAAAATGGCAACAGCAACAACAGTAACACAATTACAATAACAATAATAATGATGATAATAATAATAATAATAATTTGTTCTCCGGAGAACGCGTCGATAAACGGCGCGCATCTGCAACGTCCCGACGCCGTCCTCTCGTCGTCGGCGTCGCGTATTGACCGTGGGGATAACGATAATTGTATTGTCGCGTCGCGCGCTCGGCGACGACGACTACACGACGACGAACGAAATCAGCGTGAGCGTAATAATCGTAATGCCGACAATAGGCGACGCACAAAGGGAATTAGACACCCATATACACGCGGCGCGGCGGCGGCGGCGGCGGCGGCGGCGGGGGAGAGAGATAGAGAGATAGAGAGAGAGTTCGCGCGCGAGCGGCCGCGCGCATGTCACCCTCTTCCTCCCTCCCTCACCCCTTCCTCGTGCCACCCCCGGCCTCGCGCCGGTCGGGGTTGGCTCCTCTCTAATTACATCGATCCCCGACCGCCACCCGATTGGTCCAGCATCCAGAATCCAGCCTCCATCCGCTCCACCGCCGCCACCACCGCCGCTGCCGCCGCCGCCGCCGCCGTGCAGGTAAATCTCATGCGAACGTGAAACAATCAGATCATCCGGGAAACCGCGAAGGGATGGAGGGGAGAGGCGCGGGGGCAGGGAGAAACGGGGTCCATGATGACGCCGGGATGCTGTGGAGAGTGTTGCCCAAGTTTTTTAGCCGCCGAGCGTTTAATAGCCGGGGGGATGGGGAGAGAGCGGGGGGAGGGGGGAAGAGGGGGGAGGGGGGGCTTTGCAGAAGCTCGTTGTCGCGGTTATTGTTGTTGTTTCCGTTCTGTTGCTGCTTGATCTCGCTTGATCTTTTGAGGAAATAGAATGCGCCGATGCGGATGTGTAAAGCGCGACGCGCGAATTAAAGATAATTGAGAGATAAATAATTGAAAATGAATATGAAAATATCACGTAAATGAAACGAAATTAAAATGAAATAATAATTATGCGTTACGTTACGAGATATCGAGATATAATTTTTAATTGACAGTATTTCGTGTTTTTGCAGAGATAATTTTGCACGGATTCTGAATTCGATAATAAATCATTTAGCAAAATTAAAAACAGAAATTTAACGACATATTACATTCGAATCGAATGTTAACAAAGCTAACAAAGCGTTTTATTATCCATTTAACTCTTTGAAATCTTATTTTTCAATTTTTAATACTTCGAAAATTTTTAATGCCAACATTTTCGATTTCGATTTGACGAAAATATCTATTACGAAAAGCTAGTATAAAAGAAGGTAAACAAATTTTAATATTGATATGTTAATATCGATTTATAAAATGTAATTCAGTTAAAAGTAGGACATGACATAGATCTAAGATAACGTCACGAAAAATTCATGTTTTATAACAAGCTTATAGACTTCCCGCAATTGGATTATTTACCTCCGCAATTGGATTATTTACTCCTCGTTGCTTGAATAACTGTCCGTATTAGAAACGGATAGTAATAAGGAGGATAATGCTTCAATCAAAGATTAGAATCCGAAGGGGAAACACTTGAATGCCGACCAATAGTAGTAATAATCGAGATTCATCAGAACGCGCATCGTTTCGTTGCAAGAAAATTGTGAGTAGAATAGAATGTACTCACAGCAATCTCGCTGTTCACGCTAAACCGCGCGCGTTCCCTTTTTTTTTTCATTCCTACATTCGCGGTAAACCACCCTGCCCCCCGTCCCCCCCCTTCCTCTTTCATTTCCTCGCAGAGCAACGCATGATTGGTATCGCGATTATTAAAGTAAAGCTGATTAAACTTACATTTTCATTTCGGCTATTATTTTTCTGAAAATTTCATCATATTCTTTTCATCACATTGCGAATTTAGTCATACGCTGCTTAGTGATATGTGCATACATAATAATTATGCGTGCATTTATATAAAAACTGTTTTTTTTTGCTTGAAAAAAGAGATATATCGTGCAAGTCATAAAGTTACAAAGGTATTTATTATTTATTCCAAAAAGATCGTATTATTATGCCGATTAGCCGGGGATTAAATTTCAGATTCAGAAAAATTGTACTTCCGTACAAAAAATAAATATAATAATTAATTTATATGATTTTATAGAATCGGATAACTGGAAATGTAAACGATATTTAACAATCCACTAATCGTATAGATAAGATTTATCGTTGATAATTCCGAACGGTAAGATTATTCCGTATATACTGTAACTGCTTACTTTATAGAGTTTCATTGCTTGAACAGTTTATAATCGTTGAAATAGTCGTCGACGTGTGGCAACGAGTACTCTAAAAAAGTAATTAAAACGGTACTTTAAAAAGTATAATTAAAAAAGATGTATAGCTTATCTTAATATCGGTTTAAATTGCATGTGTGTATCTTTGCGACAAATACAATGTCCCTCGATATTCTTGCTAAGAGATATAAATTTTTTAAGCGGTCAAGGAATTTTTTTTTACGGACGATTCATTATAGATCGATCGTATTTTCGTAATCTTCGCACCTCGGACGTTCTTACAAACGCTCACGCGACGCACGAAGGAAATCGGAGACCGGAACGATCAAATCGGGGAGGGGCAGGGGGAGATATCCTAAGGGGGTATCGCGTGTTTATCCGTCCACACTGCAGGAAGCGAAACTTTCGGCCGTACAAATGCGGCCGCACGTGCGATTTCGCATAGGGGCGGTGCAGCGCCGCACGGGAGGGTGGCCGAGGGTGGAGTGATATCTCCGGATGTGGAAGGGAGGTATGTCTCCCTACCTCCCTCCCCCGCCCGTCCGCCAGTCCTTCGCCTCGCAGAGTCGGCACGAGGTGAGAGAATGGAGGACGGCCAGGTGATTCAGACGCGCGTGCCACCCCGCAGAAACTGACGTTCCTCCGGGGCTCTCTTGCGGGATATCTTACTGCCGCTCGCCGATCCGATCCTCGGCCCCGCGAGGGCACAGTGCGAATTCTTCAAATCGCTGGAAATCCCATATAGGGATAGCTTCATTCAGTTATGACCGGACAGAAAATTGTATTTCTGTGAAGTTATTAATACCGGGAGTTATTTACTTATTTTTTTTCGAATCACATGACAACGTCGAGTGAAGAACGAATTTCGATCGGTTGAATAAAAAGAAGAAAGAGAATAAGAGAAAAGTGAATTGCGAAAGATAATCGGAAAGATAATTAAAACTCTCGGAAACAGTTGGGAATTTTGGTTTGTAAAACTGTGGAACTTCGCGTTCTTAGAAAACGGGGACAATTTCAAGTTTTCTGGTTACGGATATGCCTTGGATGCGTCGAGATCTCAGAACCGCTGATCGAACGTTTCCTACAAGTTTAAATCTGACGGTACTTAGACGCGAGAAAGTCCTGAATCTTTGTTAAAAAAAAAAAAGATGTTTTGTGTCTGAGAACTTGCGATTCGTTTGTTCACCCTGGAAACAAATATTTCGATGAACTCTACCGAGATTCTTCAGTCGAAAAAAAAAATCTGTCAAATTTAGCCTTGTTTACGTGGATAAAATTCCACCCTTAAGGAGAAAGAGAGAGAGACTCTCTCTAGATCATCCTGCTCTACTTGGCGGAAATATTCGGGAGTTCTTTCGTATGAACCGTCGACTCTACAGATTATAAACTCGTTAAATGTCCGCGAAGAAGACCGCGAGAAGGCCGTCATCGCCGCGACGTTTCTTCGCGCGGCTCTACGGCCATTTGGAGGCGACGAAGAAAACGGAGGATGACGAGGATGAGGACCACGCGAGGGAGAGTCTGGATTCTTCGCCAGAGATCACGGAGAAAGCATCACACGCGCTTCCCGATTCGCCCGAATCACACAAAATGTTGCCTGTGAGTACAAAAAAAAATAGAGATTCTAATTCTCTGTATATTAATCAGTTAATGACTAAATAATTGTAGGATAAAAATGCGACATTAGCCTTACGCGGGTGTTTTAAGAAACAGCGAAAATAAATCTGTATCTCAATTATTATATTTCAATTCTACGATTGATTTCTCTCGAGTTTCTAAAAAGTTTCTGAAAGTCTGAGAGATTGACTCTGAAGTTAAGTTAATCCTGATGGAAATTTTTCTTAAAATTCTTTATATAATTTTTATATCAATTTCAGAATTTTTCAAAATTTCTGCACAATTTTATAACATTTTAGAAAATTTCTTAGATTTTTTTATACGAATTGGAACATTTCTTAAAAGCGTTGAGAAAGTTTTTTTTCCGGAATTCTCTTTTTTCTATATAAATTTTGAAATATCCCAAGATTTCTCAGATTTCTCATTCTATAATTTCCGAAGAAAATTTTTATGAAATCTGAAGAAGTTTAAGATAAACAACAATAAGTGAAGTTTAAGATATTTTTTTCAGAAATCTCCGCAAGTTAAAACTATGAAAGATTCTTAAAAATATTGCGAGATATAGAGAATTTTTGTTCACCATCAGAAAAGCTAAACTTAATCGACATAAGGATTAAACTGTCACGTTCTACTTTCGCAAGGTGCCACACTCCAAGGACCTCGAAAAAGTGCCAAATGACGTCGCGAGTAGTAAAATATTCGAGAGCAAGGAAACGAAGAAGGATTCCATGCTCACAGGTGTAAGACTGCCTTTCCTGCATGGTTTCCTGCCGCGCGGGCCCGGCCAAACCTTTCATCTGACGCAGCTCGCGCATCCGCCCACGCTGCCGCCGCATCTTCACGTTCTGCCGAACCATCAGTCCATGGCCGAGCACCACTTCCAAGGATTCTCAGCCTTCCGTAAGCTCCCGTTTACTTCCGCATCGCAGATTTCAGCTTTCCGCAATTGGTTAACGTGACACGCGCGCGTGACTTCCGCCGCTCTGGAAGAATCCTATAATTAATTGACACAATCAGTCGACTTTTATTGAATCAATTTTGATTAAGTTAATTTATCAAATTGACTTCAGTAATAAATTTAAATTTATTAACGCGACATAATGAAATTAGCCTCGATAAAAGGTTGATCTATTTTTACCGAGTAATTTAATTTGGCTGTCAAACAGTTGATTAACTAATTTACGTTGTTACTCTGAAATTTTTGAATATTTGGAAATATTAGGATATTACAATCGTTTAAAGAATCTTCTTTTAAATACTTGAATAAATTGGCCCCATTGCAAAGTACTTTACGTTAAAATCTACGAGCAAAACGGATAATTAGACAAGTTGTTAGACATTCTATGAATATCTACTAAGATCTTAGCGCTGTAACAGTTGCCAATTGAATATTCAAAATATTTTTAATTCAAAATTACAGTATATATATTAAGATCCCGAAATTTTAACACGGATTTTATATAACATTCCATGTGGTACCATCGGAATGTATAATATTTTTGGCCAAGAAACAAGATGCAACTAGCGTGATAGAATTATCACGCTGGTTGCATGAAGTACCTACATGGAAATGCAGGTGACTGCATAACGTGTTTCCAAAAGCACACTTTCTCTCTCTCTCTCTCTCTCTCTTTCCATTCTCCTCTTCTATTTTCTATCCCCCTTCTCCTCCTCTCGTAAGCTTAGGATCGAAAGGCATCTTTGCGTTCGAGTATTCGCGAATCAGTAAGCAGATTTTGTGATGTCGTATTACGTGACGCCCGGCGAACACGGCCACCGTCCAGAGAGAGGATATTGAGGCACTCTTCTGTCGCAGCAACAATAGCACAGTTCCACACAGGAATTATTTTAGGAGAAAATCAATTCAGATGCTTCTGAAATTTAATTTCCACCGTTTTTCCGCGGTCCGACTCTTTCTTTCTAAAAAAAAAAAAATAATAATTTTGTTTCACTTATATTTTTTCTCAGCTTCTCAAGAATAGACAAAAAGAGGAAATTTTTTATTAATTATCTTACACAGAAATTTTTAAATAAAGTATTTAGAATAAAATATATGTAAAGCAAGAGTAGGATTTGATATTAAAGTATAAATAGCTTTTTCACACATACAAGGGCAAAAATAATTATTTTTTTCTGAAACATTGGAAATGTTGAAAATGATATGTTTCGTTTATCTAAGAACACATCTGGTAAATGATCGTTTTTAAACGGCCGATGATATTGTTTAGCTTCACGAAACTAAAAAAATTCTAGAAAAACTCAATTTCAGAATCCCAGAACGATCTCGTCTTGATATTCGATTAATCGCGACGTGTCGAAAATTTTTTAAATTTTCCAATCGTTTCGGAAATCCACTCGTTCCAGAACGTTACAGAACAGTAGATACGTCAACTGTAAAACAGGAGCGTTTCGATCGAACACCCTTCACAGTCAAAATACCGGATTTTCAGAACAGGACAAGTGCGGCGTGAGGAGCTGGAGCGTTTCGAGCGGATATCATTCTCAATGGATTTTTTTTTTTTTAATACAAACTCGGGTTTCCGAGATATCCTAGTAGAGGATCGGAGAATATTGTGACAGTGGCGGAGGGGATGGAGGAGCAGGGAGGAGAATTAACGAATTTCACTCTTCATCTGGAAAGTTTGACGCGGAGCGAGTCGACGACAGAAAAAACATTGCGGGAGGACAAGCCCGTGCGCGCGAGCGGCGCGCACACACGCGCGTGCGGACGGTTTTATCCCGCTTCGACACTTCGTCGCGATATTGTGATGAGATTACGGGACGCAGTTGGCCGCTCCTCAATGCGAGAAATACACCGCCGTGCCGAGTATTCCTACTGAAAAACCCCCAGGCACTCTTCTCTTCTCCTCCTCCTCCTCTTCCCGGGAAGCCCCCTTAAGCCTCACAAGCCACCAATTCGGCTCGCCGGAAAATACACGCCAGGTGTGTTTGTAAGTCGCGCATCGTCGGAAGAATATCTATACCCGTCCGATATGTGACATATCCCGATTTTATCCCCCCCCCCTCTCGCGATCCCAATTTCCGAGCGTCGAGAGAGATGCGTCGCGGAGGTATGTACTTGCTTAACAGGTGCTACAGCACATCATTGACTAACGTTATGCGGAAGTGAATCCGTTGTATGTCCATTTTTTTCCGGGTGAAAATTTTTCTTAGACTTTGTCATATAATTTTTTAGAATTTCTTTACAAATTTGAGAATTTTTCTAATTATATAATTTTATAATTTTTTAAGAAATTTCTCACAAGATTTTTTCATACAAATTCGAACATTTTACAAATGCTGAGAAACATCTTTATGTGAAGAATTCTAGAAAAAATGTACAGAGACTTTCACTTGATGTTTGTCCACAAAGATTCTTCTATTTAGCTCATTCTCGCATTGATATCTATAAAAAAAAACTTCCGTACTGTGCATTTTTTTAAAAGCTATGCAACTCTTTCCGAATCTATTGAACTGCTATAAGCGGTTATAAGGTTCAAGGAGCAATTAGTATCCCATGTCCGCTTTGCATCAGATTGTACGAAGCCTTGGGGGAAGCCTCAATTTCCGATATCTCTTTTACCAGTGCAGCCTAATTATTCTATCTCACGTAACGAAGATGAAATTACAGATGCACGGCCAGATTTATTTCACGAATCCCATCAAGTATGCTCTAAAACAAAGATCAGAATTAAATTGAAGTATTAAGAAGACAAACTGTGATATACACATGTGTCCAATTTTTAAATTATTAAAAGAGACCTAATTAATACTATTATTGTTATTGCATTTGTTGCTTGTTTTCATAAATTAATTGATATGTTTAGAAGAAGCCTGAGATAATTTTGTCATATGGTCGTATCTAATTGTTTTACGCTGATGAAATTATTAAATTTGTACAATTCAAAATAACAAGATATCTTTCTATTTCACCTCTCAATTCTATTTCATTATATATATTGCTATTCAATGTTAATATTAAAAATACTTTTCCAAGTCTTTTAGTCGACTTTAGAAATTAAGAACATCAGAAATAGTTTACCACCAAATGTTTACATTTTAAATCGGAACCGTAGAAATGAAAGAATATCTTGTTGTTCATTATACGCACGAAATGTTAAGCAAATTTTGAATATATTAAGTTGGATTTTTGCCCCTTCTGAGCTGTGTTTGGAAACATCACCCGAGTGCCCGAGTGGTATCATTTTATCCTTCCTGTTTATCGAATTTTGAACAAGAATGAAATGATACTTGCGGGACACTCGAATGACATTTCCGAACGCAGCCCTGGAGATTTGTATTTCTTTCTTCTTCGTAGTGGCGCGCAGAAGAAGAAAAGAGGGCCGGCCGCGAAGACAAAGGACGACATTTAGTGGCGAGCAGACACTGAGGCTGGAAGTCGAGTATCGGCGGGGAGAGTACATCTCGAGGGGACGCAGATTCGAGCTCGCAACTTCCTTGAGACTTACCGAGACGCAAATCAAAATCTGGTTCCAGAACAGGCGCGCCAAGGACAAAAGAATCGAAAAGGCGCAATTAGACCAGCAATATCGGTACTCGTTCACTCACAGTCTCATTACATTTTGTTCTGTGTAAACATTTTTCTCTTATCTAGACTAAAATATAATCTTGTATCTTTGGATTTCCTCATGAACACCACATTTCGCTCAAAAATTCGATTTTTTTCATATGTACATATTCAAAGCGCGCTAATTTCTACATGCATGTATATTCGTGTATCACTCCCTTCCAGCTTCTAAGAATTATTTTATTTCTTTCTAATATATTTCACAAACGCATGAATTTCCAAGATTTTGAATGTTAAGGAAACGCATTGAAATTAATTTTCCAGGAGGACATTCTTTCTTACAACTCTATTTGCCGCTTATTATTTCTCAAAGCTACTTAAAGCCACGCTATTCTAATTTCTCTTCGTCGAAACTGACATGGGAAAAATAAGAGGGCCATATGGAACATATGGCAATTTTCGCATACATCCCACATACATCCTTGCATCCCACGCACGATGCATCCAGTCGATTTGTTATCTTGTCAGCGTGATGTATCGTGCTTTCAATGTGGCTATTAACGCGCGGCCGTTAGTTTCATCAGCTGTTGTTAGAATTTTACGTTTCCCAACTTCGGCAAATGAAGTGAAACACAAAATTATAATCGGATAATTTTCCTATATGCGTTTTATTTTAGAAGTTTATTAGAATTTAATTAAAAACTTAGTTACAAGAAAAATTTTGAAAGAAATAAATCGAAAACGTAAAATAGAGTTTTTTTACAAGGCGTTATTTTCGAGAAAAATGATTTTAAAAATTAATAAGAAATAGAAATTAAATTAAATCAAACAAATTAAACAGGAATTTATATGTTTCTTGTAGACGAAGGACTTTGTGTTATCGAATTTGGTGATAGCAGCTATAGTAATACATGTATAAGTAGATCGATAAAACAATTTAAAATAATTTGAGCTACTAAACGAATCCACTTTAAATGAATTATAAATCGTGACGAAATTTATAATTTTATGTACGAGTATAAATACAAAAAAATATTTGAAGAAATACATTTATATGTACATGTACATACATAAATACATGAAATGTAAAATTATAAATAAAATTTTACTCTAAATTTCAACGTAGATTACAGATCATCTAAAATGGATTTAAAGAAGTTATGCGTAAATTAAGATTCTTCTATTTTCTGAATAGAATATTGTATTTTTTTCATGAATTCTGAATAAATATTTTAAAAACCGCTGACGAGACAAACGGATACTAAAGTCTTTAGAAATATTAATTTTCTCAAGTATTAATTTCTCTATTTCTAAATTAATTATTTTTGAAAATAAGATATGAAAGGATTTTTATTTTCGATTTATCTTTGCATGAGAAATCATCTCCCTTTTGATTGTACCGTCAATTCTAAGAGATGTATCTTCTATATAAACTATTCTTCTTTCCTCTCTCTCTCTCTCTTTTTTTTCATCTTCTATAATTTAAATATAAAATTATTCTCAAGTTATCCAGAACTTTTTACCGCGAATACTCCAATTTTCGAAATTCTCACGCGCGACGACGAAACACGCCGTCTCTCTAAGTATCCGAAATCGCGAGAAACCATCAACCTTCACCTGAAATCAAGTTCCGGATTCCCATCGCGAGCACAATTATTCCGGAGAAACACGGCCGGCACGGTCCGGAGGAGAGACGCGTTGCCCGATGAATATACACGCGGCACCCTCCTCGTAATGCGAGGCGAGGCGCCGAGAGAACGCCCCGGTGCCGCACAAAGGCCGAAATTTGTATGAGCTCCTCCTTCCTCCGTAGATCACAATAGCGAGAGACGTAATCCCACTTAAGGCTATTTAGCGGCGTATCGCATCGGCGTATCAAACTCCCGGTCGAACCGTCGCCGCGGCAGTCGAGCGTCGCACGCTCGGGGTCCGCCGAATCTCGTCACCCCCTCTTCCTCCTCCTCTCTAACCCCCATTCCTTTGCCACCCTTGCCACCTCCCGGCGCGAGTGGCCCCGGTGTTATTCAGTCGATATGCACCTGACGCTCGATAAACCGGATAAACGACGGATAAATGCATCCCCCGTGTTAACCGCGGGATTTTCTCATCCACTTGTCGCAACCCTCGCGCGTTCACGGACGCGTAAACGTCCTGATCTCCGCAATCTCAATTTGCTCCGAAAACGTTAAGATTTTGACATTTCCGGGAGGGAGGAGGAGGAGAGGGGGGAGTCTGAAAAGTGAGTGGACAGAAGTTTATTTTCCGATCAGTTTTTAAGTGGAATTTTTCGATAAACTCTTCATTTCAGGCTCACAATCAGTCGTTTATTTACTTGAACATTGAGAATATATATTACTTTCTTATCATCAACACTTAAATGTTGAAAAACAATATTAAAATATTAAAAATTAAAATTGTTTTTTAATATTTAAATGTTGAAAATTAGGAACTTTAGGAAGTTGTATTAATAAATTATCGTACCGTAAAAGATTTCTCGATTTTATCGAACAGAATTATATTATTTATATATCATTTTTTTCATTGTCAAATACTGTTACCTTCATATTGGATCTTCTTCTTTAGATGCTGTCTATTATAATTCCGGCAAATTTTTCCTTATCCTGTGCTACTCTAGGTAATGTCTGCATGTCTAAACCAATCCATTCTCTTAACATTCTTCAGTCACGAGCATTTTCTTCTTCCTAAATTCTCAGTAGTACAAAATATTACATGTTGAATTAAAAAATTTTGTGAAAAAAGCTCAATTATGTTCTAAATGGCTGAGATCTCAACGACGGAACATCGTATAATAGTCTTTATTTAATAACCGGCCAGGTATTTAGACCGTGAACGAGTGGAGAGGGCCGCCGACACGCGATCCGCAGTTTAAGTAACGATCATTTCGTTCCTCCCTAATGTTTCGCCGGATAAAAGCGTTTACTTCAGGCAAATGGGAACGCCGATCGCGTTGATTGCTCTCTTTTTACGATCTCTTTGAAGTAATTTTTTTTACAGGCGAAAACAATTTTTACACAGTTGGAAAGTATACCTTAAGTATCCCCGACGTTCGCGATTGCCATTCGTCAGAAAAATTTTCAGGAAACAGTTTCATCTTCGGTGATTTTACAGAAACTTTGTGGTTTGCTGCAGAAACTTCGCAGTATCGAACGGCCTGGTGAATCTGCCGCTTTACAACGCGACAGGATTCTGCGGCCTCTGCCTGTACAAAGACACCTATGGGTCGGCGACCAACCACTCCTGCGCCTCCGGCAACCCCGTCGTCGCCGACTCGTCCTTGAAGGATCAGCCGCGTTACAGCAGCAGTGGCAGCGAGACGTCCGATAATCCGCCGAATCTCGTGTCCACGACTTAATTGAATCCAACGCGCCGCGCGCAATCACTACGTCCTCATTTAAAACACATCTGACAATAAGTTTATTTATTTTTTTTCTACGTAATTACGCGACATGGAGGCAGTTTCAGCAATCAGTTTTCGGCGTGCAGATGAAACGAAAAAGTAAGTTTAAGAAAATTTTTTTCTCACATTATTATATCAGAAATAATTATTAGAAAAAATTAATTGGAACACATTCGACATAAAAAAATATTTTGACGTGCCGATTTTTATTTAAATATCATGCCTTTCCAATATCTCTTAATAGATATTAATAATATCATATTATGTAAAAATTGTCGTAATTGATCGATTTATTTTCCAGTTTTTCCCTGAATGTTTTTTCAATCGCAAGCCTTCGTTAATTATTTACACAGTACAAAAGATTAAGATGTCTAAATTCTTAGTCTTCAAAATTATAGTTATAAAATTTTGAAAATCTACGGTCGACTTTTTCATGCTATACGCATCCGACTTGGATACCGTTTATAATATGTATTATTAATAGCCAGAGCAGCATTTGCACCTTTGTTATCTCGTTGCCGCAAGAATCTCATTATTTAAAGATATTGACAATGAGATATCTTTAAATAATAAAATTCTGGAAGGTTTTGATATCTTACAAATACAATTGACAATGATGAAATAGTAAATACATTATAAAGTAAAAATTACCTTAAAAAAATCATGTTTTCATTGAAGCAAAATTTAAATTTCCAAATTGTACTATTTAAAAAAGTACTTTAGTATTGAGACAATATTAAGACAGCGAAAAGAACACGCAATGCCTCATCAGCACTCATCGCTAGAAAAACGTCACTTCGGATCATCGTTCGGTAATTAAATATGCAAATCGAAAAATGCATTTTGAGTGTGTTGTGCAGATGGCAGATAATACACAGAAAATTGTATGAAAATCCTGAAAAAAATTTGTCCGTATTAAAAACTTTTCATTCTAGACTTTCGCACATAAAAAACGGTGAAAAAGATTCCCGATCAAGCTTTGCTTAGAATCAGCTTTCTTTGAATCTAAAATTTTAAATAAAGTACTTAAACAAAGTTGGATCAATAAATAATTGATTTTTTAACTTACCTTCAATTTTTCTTGCTTCCCGTTAAAGCACGCCGAGAAGATCGATATGAAACGGTTAAAGAAAAAGAAATAGAACACGTTAACAATTATCATTGGAAAGTCAATCCGATTACAATTAATCATAATAGTGACGTAACGTATAGAGTTGCAATTAATTATATAATAATTATAATAAAGTATAAGATTTGAGCATGTTTTATCTGTAATTGACGCTTAATCGAAATAACGATAATACACGAAACTGCAAAAAAAAATATATATATATATATATACACTTTTTATTATTGATCGTTTATTTACGTTTCGTAAACAGTTCATATAATTAGTGCAATGCGTTATAATATAAGTATCAAATAACTTTTTATAGCTAATGCATAAGTACATGTATTTCACGAGTTTGGAGGAGAATGAAAAAAAGAACAGCTCTGTAGACTAAAAAAAAGTTTATTAAATGTGTAAAAATAGTGTTACAATCTAAAAAAATACATACAATATTCTTATTACATCCTAAAAATCCCAGATTTCTTAATTTCTAGGATCTCTACAGACTTGTTTCAAGAGCCTTTCAATTCCTAAAATCTCTTATAACTGTAAATGCAAGAATTTGCTCCGAGAGATTCCATTCGAGATTCAAGAGAGAATTTAGAGTTTAATCCTCAATTAAATTCTTCGCTTTTTCCTCCGTAGAAATTTTTCTATTTCCGTATTGCTAAAAGTCTCAATATAAAAATTATTTTTCCGAATTTCAATTATCATGTGTAAGAAGCTGAAGGCAGCAGTTCCATCTTTAGACGCTTAAAACTAAGAATCTTTTTGCTTTTTGTGAACGTCGAAATGTGAACTCAACAAACAGAAAACAAAAATCGATATTAATTTAATTTTCCTTAAATGCCAAGATTTAAACTGCACCCTTAAAACTAATGTTACCGAAATTAAAAATGTTTGGCGTAAATTCTATTAAAAAAAAAAAAAATCTTTAATTAATTTTTAGAAATGGTATTTTTTTTAAATTGCTATTTTTTTTAATTTTTCGGACTCGGGAACTTTTGGGAGCCTAGATCCTTAGATTTTCTCAAAATTACCTGATCTCGATTAACACTCAAAGCAATTTGAAGAAAAGAGATGCATAGATAAATCATTACTTGAACTTACCTCGGTCGGCGGCCTTGGAAGGACGGCGGGCACAGGGCACGTCGCTCTCGTCGAGTACCAGCCCAAACGGTAAACCAGAAATTAATGAAAACGAAAGACAGCAATTAATTACAGTGAAAGTAAAAAGAAGTCTCAATAACAAACGCCCTGCCTGCCCCCCCCCCCGCAAACGAGAAGGGGCTCAAATAAAAAACCAAGTGACATATGACTCTCTCGTCTGTTTCTCTCGCGCCTTACAAGGTGTGAGGGCACAGCTGACACACCGCCCAACAATTTTAACGGGGCTTCCGTGCAATGCGTGAATTTACACTTGAGAATAAATCCATATACGTGTGCGTCTGAGAATATTTCCTCCGAATAAAATCTTAATGTTCAAGATTCTGATTTCTAAAATTTCAAATCGTTATATAGCGTACCGTGTCAAGTTCTTGAAAGCGGTCAAATTTTTTCCGACAAACCACCGGCGCTTACGTCTCAGCTTTAAATCTTAGCCTGTTTTGTTTGTTAAATTCGTTTCCTTTCGGAAAGCCTGTGGTCTTTCACTGGACATTTAAGATCTCGATTACGAGCACTGATTCTTTAAATTGTTATCACTACACAAGTTCTTGCGTGATTGTCATCTTCAAATTCTTCGAGAAATCTCGAATTCTTAAAGAAGACCTTGGATACCGACGGATCCAAAGTAAAGTGTGTATCTATAAATCTCAATTATCCTTGCAGGAATTTTATAGGTGACAAAACCTTTTTTTTAATACTTAGAATACTTGCTAACACTGTAAATATCTGGTAATTGATACCCTAGACATCGTAGCAAGTTTTGGTATAGCAAGATTCCTTCAACCTAACGTACGATAAAAATATCGCACCTTGGAAATGGGCTGTAATTAAAAAAAAATATTTAAAAAGGCTTGGCAGACGTAAAAATGAGAAAAGACATTTAAAGATCTAATTTATACATTTTTCTAAAAGTGTACTCGACGATATAGATTAAAATTCTGTCTGCTTAATGACGATTAATAAAGCTTCAACTTTGTTCTCTAAAACTCAAGTTCTCATTTATTCTGTTATTTTCAGCACCGGATTCCTAGATCTTTGAATGACGATACGTGAAAAGCACATCTTTCAAAGAGCCCTCCTCATTTCTAAGTGATATATTTTTAGAGAGACTTTCTGTGTACACACGAACACTGGTGAAGATAAAAAAAAGAGAAAAATATAAAAAAAAAAACAGCAACAATGCAACAGTTATACGAACGAAAATGTATCTCTCCTGTTCAACCTAAAACTTTCTTGGTGAAAGAAAGATGAATTAAAAATGGAATCGGCAATATTTCCGTCTAGCGTTTCACGTGTCGTACTAAACTTTGTAATTGTGGCATACATAATCAAGCGAAAAATATTTAAAAACATTTTTATAGCGTGCATTTTTTTAACATTACATTAAAATTTGTACAATTACAAATTAAAATATAAACAAAAAAATTTATGGAATACGTCTAAACGATCTGCAAGATGATACATAATTGCAATGGTTATCAGTAATAAAAAATTTTTATCTTTTTAAAAATTAAATAATTTCCATTGCTTAAAAAAAATTATTTTATATGAGCGTTGTACGCTCTTTTTTAAAATTACGTTTTTTTGAGAATTTGTTTCTTTTTTTCTTTCTACAGCATTTTCTTAAAAATTATAAAAAAAAGTTCAATTTAAAAAGATTTTGGATATCAAAAATTTAACTTACTCGATATATTTTTAAAGCAAATTTCCGATTCTTTTCCATTCATCAAACTTTCACAAGTTCGCTATTAATAATAACAAATCTGGTAAACAGTGCACCAGATACACAATGTAGTCGCCAAAAAACACTGTAAAATAAGACTGTAATGTCATGCACACACTTGTTGCCATTTAACACCCTATAAATATATATGTATATGTACATTTACGTGTTATATATGTATATCTAAGCAAATGAGTCGAAACATTCCTACCTGTGATTTTGCATAACAGAGGCTAGAGAATGGAAAGCCTAGTATACACTAGTTCTGTCTGTCGTAGCCTGAGAATCCTTTCTCTCTCTTTCTTTCTCTCTCTGTTATCTTTGCCTTTTCCCTTTCTTTCGCTCTTTCTCTCTCTCTCTTACTGCTACCTGCTAGCTTCTTCCTTGCTCTTAAGCTGCGATAATCTTCGTCACTAAACTTCAAATCCAAAGCTGCACTAGACTAACTAGAGACTACTCTAGCACGTTCAACACCGCTCTAGATCTACCGAGAAGTGAAGAGCTCATCGGGGGATGAGGATTAGACTCGAGAAAAATTGTATGCTTTAGATAAATATTTGGACAAGAATCTTTGAATATGTAAATCTTGATATCTAAAATTTTATTTCACAGATTATCAGTAATGAGAGAATTCCATTTTTTCTTTTCCTATTGGACTCTGAGTAAATATAATAAACTTTCAAATCAGTTTAGATTATCCTAGTCAGGGATTCTTAAAAAAAATTCAAAATTCTTGAGAAAATCAACAAGTATTAAAAAACAAACTAACTCAGAAGTCTTGAAAATTTTAAGAACCTCGGGAAATTTTTTGGGAAAGGTTTTTGAAAACTTTAAGAAGTCCTTTACACTTAAGAAATATCTTTAGAAACATACAAGATTGTCAGCAACATTAACTTAATCGTTAAATATCAAATAATCATCCATCGAAAGAAAAATAATACATAAGTTAAAATCTTTTTTATTAATCTTTCAAAATTCTCAAGGTTTTTTTGAAGAATTTTCAATTTTAAACAATATTCAAAGTGATTCAAAACTTCGATCAGATACTCGGAAATCGTTCGAAATACTCGATAGTCTATCACTATCTAGAACATAAAGTTCTTTTTAGTAAAAAAATGATCGCGACAATGGGTATAGAAAAGTCGTATGCCGTCTTCGCGATGAAGAAAAAAAAAAAAAAAACTACAGAAGACTGGGATGGGGTTTTCGTTCTACACAAATGATTTAATACTGCGAATACATATTTGAACATTGACGCCTCGAGATGTCGATGGTATTTTTTTTCTTTTCTTTTTCATTTGACTACACAGTCGACGGTACATCTATTTCTTTTTCTTCGTTTTGGTTTTTTCTTTTTTTCGCCTATTGTATAAGTCCTACAATTTGTGTCCTTCAACGTGTACAAGATGATCCTGATCTATCGTTTATTACCTTGTGAATAATTTTATTATGCAGCTTCGAAGAGAAAGAAAAATTACGCATAGCTATAAGAAACTCGTGTGACAATGTATGTATATAACTGCATTTTTATATACATTCTGTCTGTTTTACAAAGTTAAGCGATTTATGAAGAACTGTATTTTATATATACATTTTGCCTGTTTTTTTTTTTTTTTTCGTAAAGAAGTATCAAAACTTCGAAGTTGCACGAGAAAGATGATAAACCTGGTACATTCTGACCCTTTCGCAGTATAGTTTGTGATCTGAACTTATAGCCTATTGTGACCTCGCGTCGCAAAATTAAGACATAATAAAGAAAAGGTTTCTTTTATTTAAGCCACAACTAGCTTAAACAATTATACAGCTTCATAAACTAGTTTATTTCCTAATAATTAGTCCTAATTAATTCCTACAAAACGCTGACGAATATACTCTTCTCTTGCCGTTTTTATCGCTACATGCACGCACTATATATCTTTCTCTCCCTCTCTCTTTCTTCTCATTTTTCCTAATATAAATTATCTTCCTGTATAAATAAATAAATTTTCTTCCCTGTCTGCTGAATGTTTACGCGCAGATTCCTTGTAAAGGACGTAAAAGTACATTTTGAACGATAATACGAATCTTTATAATGAGTGGAAAAAGGGAGAAACTGGACGCAAGATTAAAAAAAAAAAAACAGGCATAAAGCCTCTCACTGCGAGCTAACTGGTGACTTTTTTTGTTCTTTTTTTCTGTCCTGTATCCTGATTGTCCTGCCTGCCTGACCGACTTCCTGACTGTTTCTGAGTTTCTGCCTGTTCGTTGCCTTGTCTCTCTAGCCTGATAGCCTGCCTGCCTGCTCCGATACTAAACAGTACAGAAGTACTGGCGACTAGAAGACAAGTAGTAGTAGTAGGAGTAGCTTCACCTGAGGTTCAAAAGTCAAGAATATCTGTTAGTTAAACTCTTTAGCCTGTGCAAAAGACCGGATCAGGTCTTGAGCAAGGAATTTCCGAATCTTGGGATCTTTTCATGGCTAAGTTTAAAGAGTTAAAAAATCCTTCGATCTCTGAATTCTTGGATTCCTCAAAAAATTCTCGGTGCCTGATATCCTGAGATTCTTTAAATCCTTGACTCTGTAGACCCTTAGAGGTCCTAATACACAGATTTGCGTTTTATTAATTTGTGAATACTTTGATATTTTAAGTAAATTCCTCCACAGAAAAAAAAACTCTTCATCGCTTCAGATACTATAGCAAAATAACTAATCATCATCCTGTATATATAAAATAAAAAGAAATACTATTCTTTAACACGTTGGATAAAGTATCGTAAGACATGAAAAGTGAAAATCGATTATTATCTTGCTATTCTTACCTAAATTCTAATCTACACTTCTGAACTTTGTTCGAAAAAAAAAACTAATGCTAACGCAAATTGCAAAAACAAGAAAAAAAGAACGTCACTTGGATATTGCCAAATAATTGAATTAATTATAGTCACGCTAGAAAAATGATGTAGCAAATATTCGGATACAACAATGGCTAAAAGACGTACTTGACTTTGCGTTCTAATTGCACAAGCCCTAAAATTATATACTTATGTGTGTATGTATGTATATCAACAATAAAACAACTATTGTGTCCTCATATATAACAATAAGATAAGTTTTACGTTCTTTTGTCTCTCAATAAATTATGAATGCATACATATATATGTATGTATGTTTTACAAAATCTTCTAATGATATCCGCGAGCAAGATTATGAAAATTGATAGTAATTAGTTATAAGAAATAACTTAAAAAAAATTAAATAATTAACAAACTGATTAAACTTGAAATAAATTGATTCAAATATGTAAAATTTAAAGATTTAAAAAAACATGTTGACTTATAAATTACGTAACCTCCATGAAACAGAAAACTATCTATATTGTTTTAACGTTGCATAAACCTTAAAAATTCAGTGAGAAACAATTCAACACTTCTGGAATTTTGCGATTGTCGTAAAATTTTGAAACGAAGCAATTTCGAAATAGCGAGTCGACACCGTTAACGCTGAAATAATCGTGGTTTTGCTTACCAGCGAGAAGGGTCAGCGATATGATCAATGCTTTCTTAATATCTCCGTCCGCTGCCGCCTCCACCACCACCACCGCCACTACCCATGTTTCCACCCCCGAGAGAATTACCGCCGTAACCACCTTGATTACCGTATCCACCGCCGCCGCCGGAATTTCCGCCGCCCATGGGACCTCCTGCGACATCGTAAGGAAAACAAACAAAACTACGGATTAGCAGAAACAATTGTTTCCGTCGCACTGATGAACGACGCGGTAAGGCTTACTGTGTTACAAAGTACGAAATTCATATTCGATAACATCGAAAGATTGATAATTACAAGATCGAGATTATTATATTCTAAATTTTAATAATTACGTAGATAAAAAATACGCGATTTAACACACACAAAAAACCCCGAGGAAAAGAACGATTGTCGCGCGTCGTTGATTTTCAAAAAAGAAAGAAACCTTGTCCGCTGAAGGGCGGTAGCCATCTGGAGTCACCTGACTGACGTCCGCTAGGACCCGAATTAATACCGTATGGCGCTGGTCTGCCACCCGAATTGAAGTTGTTACGCACTGGGCCACCACCGTAACCCTGTTGATAACCACCGCCGAAGTTGTCGTTACTCCAATTACCGCCGCTGTTGTAACCACCCTGTCCGCCCTGGTTCCATCCTCCCCCTTTAAAACGCAACAATCAGTATTTTTTTAACATTTCCATTACTTATCGAGATGCTATTATGAGTTATCAGGGTGGGTACTCAAATTTTATAAAAGAATTCCCTGAAAATTCCCGGATTTTCCAGGAATTTTATTCAAAATTCCAGGTAAGATTAGAGAATTTCTCAATACAGCTTTAAACTAAATTAGGCACTAAGAGTTTTAATAACGTATAGAACTTGATGCGTGAAACAATTTAATCTTCTCATATGTACAATAGTTAAATCTCCATACAAAATTTTTCAAACGTAACGACAGATTTTGTATGGAGATGTAACTACATATGTGAAGATTAAATTGTTTCACGCGCCAAGTTCTGCGCTATTAGACTCTTAATGCCTAATTATTTTCGGATTATCGTTTTTCAGATTAAAGAGTCTTTACATAGTATATGTCAATTTTAAAATAAATTAACTTTCAATATCAGCGAGTCTTCGATATGGGGCCGCGTTTACTTTCTAAAGCGATAAAATTAAATTTAAAAGTAAAATTCAAAAAATTTCTCTGAGTATCAGTAATATTCCATAAGAATCCATGATTTTCAATAAAAATTAAATTCCCTGAGAATTCCAGGTTTTTCTGGTAGTACCCATCCTGGTTATGCTATTCCACTCTGTAGATTCTGTAGATGTTATCCAGGGATAATTATTTTTTTATTGCTCGTGTATTAAAATCTTAATGATCAAATACTTCGTAAAATTGGCTCAGACTAATATAGAAACAATGGTTAATTCTATTTTACTCTTATTCTAATTTTTGTTCGTGTTCTATAAAGCTTTATTTTTGTAAGCTTATTCTTTGCTTATTCCAGTAATTTTTCGTCATAAATTATTCTCATTATTATATAAATCTATAGATATAAATTCTTTGCGCTGCAACTTTTGCATGACATCTCGAAGAACTATTAATATCATTTATTTAGAGCGTGTCATATACTGAGAAAAGCAAAAAAAATTTCTTAACATTGATTCGGCTTGAGAAATTAATTACAATATAAATTAACTTTTGAATCCGCTCGCGTGTTTATAGTCTCTCTCGGAACATCGTATGCAATTTTCTCAAATATACTGTTAGAGAACGATATTGCAGTCAATTCCAGCTTCGAGAAAAATAAGAGGAAAAAGATCTGCGTGTCAATCTTTACCTTGATTTTGATTCTCCCAAGGTCCATTACCGCCCCAACCTCCTTGATTATTTCCACCGTATCCACCCTGATTGCCGCCATTGTTCCAGTCACCACCACCACCGCCACTGCCGCGTCCGCCCCAGCTACCGCCACCCTGGTTACCACCACGGGGTCCTCTGCCTACACCTTGGCCACCGCGGCTACCGCCGCCACCACCGCCGCCGCCTCCAGAGGCAGACGCCATTTCTGCTCTGCTTAAAGCCTGTGATAATAATTATCGCATTAATAAAAAAATGAACAAACCGTTCAGCCAATTCAGATTTTTTTATAAAAAAATGAATAAACAATCTTTCTACAACAAAATATTTTGTATCTCGTATAAAAATATATCAAAAAAATATGAAATATTTCGTGAAGTATTCATTTTTTGGTAATCTTGGTTAAATATTTTTATTTGTAAAATGAAGTATGTACACTAATAAGAGATCAATTTATATATGTATAAAAAGCAACACATAAATATGCAAAAATGCACAATTTTATATTTTTATCTATAATATTAAAAATATAAAAAATTATCTTTGTATATATGTTTGTAAAGATTAATTTTTCGACCTATGTTGATTAAACATTGGAATTTTTATTCAATTTGATATTATCTATTCTTTAACTTTTGAATATTTTTTTCGGCCCTCAAATATTCTAATATTCTATTATAATGTAAAGACAAAGTGCATTACATAGAAAGACATAAAAACATAAAATACTAGAAGTTAGAAAAAAAAAATAAAAAGAATAAAAGATTGCGCGAATTTCTTTTTTTAATCATACTTTTAAATAATTTGTATATTTCTCCTTTATACCTGCATCATTAATTTTTGAAAATCTCACCTTTTTGACGTCAACATGCTTGCCGCGAATCTGATGATTACGCTGCAGGCAGATCTTGTCGACAGGATCGTAGTCGTCGAATTCGACAAAGCCGAAGCCACGTTTCTTGCCGGTCTCTTTATCGGTCACTATGCTAATTGAGTTTATGCTACCGTAACTCTGGAAATACTGCCTCAGGTCCTCTTCCTCGTGGTCATCCTTCAAGCCGCCTACGAAGAGTTTCTTCACGGTTGCTCCAGCCTCCGGTCGGCCAATTTCTTGTCTCGGAACCGCTCTCTTAGGCTCTACCACTCTGCCGTCCACTCTGTGAGGTCTGTAAAAGGTATTTCAATTTTTGATGACCTTTGTATGTAAAATAAATAGAAAAATCAACTTATGAAGAAAAAACAAGAAAAAATCAAATTTATGCAAGGGAACAAGCAACTTTTATATTATCAACACTTTTATCTCTACTCATCATTATATTCTCTAACAAGATCAATTTTTCAACTTAGATACGTATAGAGTATTTTTTTTATCTTTCTCAGTAAATATTATGTACTTCTGAATTCTAACATTGAAAATCTAAACATTGAAAATTTCGTTGAATATCTTGCGCGAATTCCTTTTTTACCTAGCGTTCTGAGCATCATCCACCATATGAGCGCGAGAATAGGTGATGAAGCCAAAGCCTCTTGAACGCTTGGTTTTGGGATCTTTCATCACCACCACATCCACGATCTCGCCCCATTGCTCGAAGTGCTTCTTAAGCGAATCATCTGTTGTTCTGTAGTCCAAGCCGCCGATGAACAGCTTTCTAACATGTTCCGGCTCATTTTTGCCGTCCTGAAATATTGAACAACATTGTAAATTAGTGCCGAAATTTTTTAACACACTAGCACTACAGGCGAATTTTTAACGCATTTCTTCATACAAAATAATTACATACGAGATAATATAATTGTTAAGATAATCATACCCCAGAAAAATATCAAAGCCAATGACTTTGATTAAACGATACTTTAACAAGTTATAATCAATTTATTGTATTTTTGTTTTTTTACGTTTAATGCAAAAATTATTGACGATATCGGCCCTCAAACATTTAATTCTCTATATGCTTTTCCATCTAGAAAATGTTATTTAAACTCGAGCGTATTTGCGTACATCTCGATGTAAAAATAAGATCTACTTATGTTTATATTTTTACAGATTCAAGTTTAATCTCTTTATCTCCTTTTAATTTTTAGAGCTGGAAAAAGATAAGAAGCAAAAGTTAAGCCGATATACATAAAGCTAATCTACACTGGCAGAGAAATGGACGCTCGCAACGCAAATGTAATGGCGATTAAACCAAATTATTGTTCTTATCATACATGGAATTTTCTCGAATTGAGGTTCCAACGTCAAAACGATCTCCCATGATCGTTCAAAATATGTAGTAATTCAGCAATCGTCTTTTCTGTTTGCTTACCCCGGTTCAACGAATTCCGATTTTTTCTTTCTAACCATTTCAAGGGAAATAATTTATAAAAAACTACAAAGTTCTCCCCAAGAAATATTTAGAGTATATAAAATTCGGATTAAAGACGCGAAAGACGCTTTCGCGTCCGAGATATTTCGCGAGCTGCATTTCGCGATCTCGCGGCGTTAATCGTGGCGAGCGTCGTCAGCGTGACAAACAGTTTTTCGACACGGTCCGAAGGTACCCTGATCCGACGAGCGTCGAAGATGCGTGAGAACTCGCGAGAGGTGCGCGTTTGCGATTTTCGCGACGGCGAAGTAGAGATTTCTCAACTGAGGCGAATACTCACATCGTGCTCCATCTTTACCATTTTGAGAGATCTGAACAGGATTGCGTCCCTGCGTAGCTCGTAGAACAGAGGAAACCGCGAGACGAGTCGACGGCGAGAGACGAGACGACGAAGGGAAAGGAACGACGCTATACACCACCACGACGACGCGAACGATCGATTTCCACTCGGCAGTCTCGGCACTCCTTGCACACACTCGCGTGAACCCCGGGCCGGCTGCCCACCTCTCTGTGGACTACGTTAATCAAATGCGGCGTTGTGAGGAATATTGGAGTGTCTCGTTTGACTACCGTTGCAGTTGACTGCCAGGATCGGCTTTTTCCCATTGAACCGGCAAATTTTGAAAATACTTAATTACTTATAATTTTGAATATATAGTGTTGAAATTAGCCAATTGGTCACTTAAATGCCTCAAATGTATAAAGCTTCTTTTCATGAAAAAGTTCATTTTTTCATGCTGATACTCGACGCATTTTTAGTATCAAAACAAATCACTTGATATTTTTATCTAAAAATTTTGATAAAAATTGACTGATGCTCAATTTTACTCGTGATCTGTTTTGATGTTAAAAATGAGCGTTTAACGTCAGAATGAAAAAATACCTTAAAGCCTGAGACGGACAGCACAAAAAATTATATGCGCTTCAGGCTTAACTTTTAAGTCAAGACAATGAAAAGGAACAGGGAACAAGAATTCCAATCAATCAGAAACCGTATACTGTGAGATACACGGTTTCTGATAATTTATTTTTTTTTGTAGCTACATCACAAATTCATCATGATTAATTTTTTATTTAATCAATTAAAAAAAACAAACAGAATTCTTCTTCTAACAAAGATATACAATAAAGTGTACTTAAGAATAAAGCAACAAAACGAATATACAAGGTTTAATATAATTAATAATAATCATATATATAATATTTGTAATATTTTCATCAACGCTTGTCGCTGAGGTTTCGCGAAATAATACATTCAGAGAACGTCGTTGTGTATATGGTACATGTTCTACTATGGAATATTATGTAAAATTTTTATATGTTCATATATATACATAAAACATTGTGTATGTAAGTACATACGTGCAATAAAAGAAAAAGTCTGTTGCTAGCAAAATTTCATGTTCAAATCACGAAAATCATTTGTTGCAAAAAAAATTCAATTATTATTTAATGTGTATTAAAATGTATACTGGTTACAATCATACGTAACATAAAATATAGAATCGTCTGTCTCACAATTGAAACGTGGAAAGCGCCATGTATAAATATTTCGTGTAGAAGTACATTATATTTCCCTCTTCTATCTACGTGTAATATATTACAATATTTACACACATACACGTGTGTACATATATATATATATATATATATATATATGTGTGTGTGTGTGTGTGTGTGTGTGTGTGTGAATATTGTAATATACACGATACAACATAAAATATGTATAAATATATGTATATTACGTACACGCGCGTAAATTCGAAGCTGCGTTAATAAATACATAGCATACCAACTAAACCGTAATATACTATATATTTATACATTAATTGAGGATTAATGCTTCAACGCGAGTCTCGAATACATAATTTTTTATCGAGGAGAAATCTCACGATTCGTAGCGATGCTTGTTATGCGTGTGATTCACAGATGTGACGTGACGACGACGACGACGACGATCGGAGAGACAGGCGAGAGGAGAAGCTTTGAACTACGCTCGGTGTATCGGTCTTGGTCACGTGGTGGTGGTCTCCGATATCTTTCTGGAGCGACTCTTCTTGTGCTTAGCCGGCTCGGTGGTTATCGCGCCCGCGTCGTTGTCCGACAGAGGCGACTCCTTCACCGACTTCCGACCGCGGCCGATGTTCTTCTCCTCGTTCTCCGAGCCCAGCGACGACTCCCGGTTCGACTTCCGGCGCTGACGCTGCGGCGGCTGATTCTGCGCCGCTTCCAGGGTTTCGCGCAGGTGCTTCCTCTTCACTTCCCAGAATGCCTCTTGCCGCGTGACGATATCGTCTACGGAATGTCTACGGAATGCGAGCGATTAACGTTCAAATTTCCAGGATAAATCCGATAGCGGTGAGTTTCAAAACGAGGTCGTACAGGATTATATGAAATCATATAGAATTACTTGACAATATACGTGAAATCATTACAAGGGACATTAGAGTAGATACTTGTCGAAGGACGTTGGATTTAGCTATGCTTGGATTTACTGGAAGATTTTTAAAGAAGCCATTACGTAGCAATTACCTCTTAAAGAATTCCCAGTCGGGTGGCTCTTTCAACCGCCAACCCTTCTCCGACTCGAATGTTCCGAGCTCCGTAAAAATCTGATTAATCTCTTCCGGCGTCAGCTTGATGATGGACGAGATCTTATCGCGGCGGAGAAACTGTTGTTCGGTAAACAGTGATAACTAAAAAAAAAAAACATAAAAATATATTTTATATATATTATATGTATACAATTCCTTTGTATATTTGAAGTTACAAGCTTCTTTCACTCGCTTGCACAGCAACTTTGGCAAGTAATCAAATTTAATCGCACAAACAACGATGTCTTAAATAAAAATTAATAAAATAGATTTCACGCACATTAAATGTAATAATGATCGAAATATATGTAGATACAAAAGTTGTATGGAGTAGTCTACTATATTTTAGTGTGAGGTCCGAAAATATACAGAAGGTAGAAGTTAAATTTCGAAATACGATCTTTTACTAATAAATTTTAAACACTCACAATGTAATCACGAGCTATGCACATGAACTCGGAGTTGCTGTTTGGAGAGGGAAGGCCCTCCTTGGGGTATATCAGTTCGCTCTTCACAACCCAGTTACCTTGCACCAGCATAGCTACTTGCTGCAAATACTTGAGTACCGTTGTCGCATCGTGCTCCGGCGATAGAATTTCGCGTAGCTTTGCATAGGATATAACTCTCACTGTAAAAAGATAAAAAAAATTTGTTTTTATCAAATCCCAGCGTATAAATATACGCTGGGATCTAAAAATATATATATATTTATAAAAATCTGTTTAATTTATATCGATAATTAATATTTATTCCAACATGTGAAAACTGACTTTTATGTTTCTAAGCATATAGTATTAAAAATGTAAGAAATGTAAAAAGTGTTTTAAACAAAAAGTTTCATGGCCTCAAAGATACTTCAACTTTATATGTATATATTTTCATATTTTCTTGTCTTTCTCTCAAGCGCTATTTTCAATGCTTCTCTCACCTTGCTTCATGATTATCTTGATTTGATCCAGCAAAGATAAAGTCATGATATGATGAAGATCCGTCTGATCCTCGGAAGTGGATTGCGAGTAGCACTCGTCAGGTAACTGTGGTACCAATAGATGCAGATATTTTAACCGAGGCAAGTTCAGGGAATTTGCCGATTCCTCGGCCGACGGGCAGAACATCTCTATCCTTGTCGACTGCAAAAACAAACGAGATAATGTTCAGCATTTTGATACATGTACATCTCATAATGTAAAAAAAATCATAATAAATATTAAATATATAATAAAATAGAAAACTTGCAAGACTTTGTTTGCTGTATTTGAGTACAGTAACGTTTTATATTGAATGCAATAATTAATACATTTTCCTTGCAAAAAAAACTTATTTTATCGACGACGACGTACCTCAGCCTGCATATCGTAAGGCGCCGCGTAATTCGTGTCAATCCAACGCTCCTCCTGGCTTTTTTTGTAGTGATGCTGGAAAGATTGCTCCTGCAGCTTCTTGAGATTGTCCGGCAGATGTCTGGCGAATGTTACCTTCACCGGTGTGGCGTTATCTTCGTCCTCGTCGTCGTCTGCATTTTAGCAAATGAATTTGTGAGTGTTTCTCGTACGCTTGTGCCAAGCTCTGAAGGTTCAACACAGGCTATCTAAGTAAATGGATATTCGTAACAAGCCAGCCAAGGAGACATCCTCTTTTTACCTTCTCCCGCGCCCTTCGTCCCGTCCCTGGCGTGCCTCTCGCTCTCGTCCAGGTAGTCGCACTGCAGCTTCATGTGCAGCATCGCCTTCAACGGCGTGATGTGCAGCTCGTCGTCCTGAAAGATCCCGACCGCGAAATTCGAGCAGTTCGACAATGTCCGTTCCGACGTCAATACGGCCTTATCCATCAGACCACTAATGAGAAGAAAGTATTCTTTTTTTCATATTCTTAAATTAATACAATTAAATCGATTAAAGCCTTTAATGATCGAGAGTCTACCTGTACTATTAGTGAAAAAAGACGTGTTATTTTAGTGACAAAGTTGCAGAAAATATGTCTCTTGTACGTTGTCACCCATAAAATATTTGATTTTTCTACATAACAATTTCTCTAATTATTCTATATTTAAAGTATCAAAATTCTGGCCTTGGTCATTGAAGGCTTTTCTCGATTTAATTATGTTATTTGCTTATCGGTCTAGTCTCATTTTATTGTTGATTTTATTATTGTTAACATTACACCAGAAACTTCAAAATTTCGTCACCTTTCAAATACCGTTTCGTCATTTTCCTTAGATTTCCTTTCTGTATTTAAAGCAAGTTGCTTTCCCATATTGTGGTCGTAAGTGCGTTCGTTCGTTGTATCCATCGCGAGTTCAATACGAATTTTCTGGTTTTCCGGCTTAATGGAGGTCCTTAAGAAGGTGGCATTGGTGCAACCGTCCTTGATATGCGCGGGATACTGAACAATAATTAATTTGTCCGCCAGAGTCTTGGAGAGGAACACTGGTATCTGTACAAACAATTCCTCTTATTGTTCTCTTATCGACAAAAAATAAATACATGCTCTGAAGAAGGAAACAATTTGTATGTGATAAAATCAAAATACAGTTTTTATGTATCCAAACAAGATTCTATTAAAAAAAAAAAAAAACATGAGAGCTGCAATTTTGAGCGGATCTAAAAATTTTTTACCTTAACAACACATAAAATATGCAAGTTTAAAAAGCGAAATAAAATGGAAAAAAAAATTCAAACGTCTGTTAAACAAATTTTAAACCACGTGCTCGGAAGCAGCAAAATCTAACCTAAAAAAAAACCGTGACGTAAAACAATCGTATTGAGAGCGAGTGGGAAATTAAAATCGGACGATGGAGCACTAACCTCTTTCACGATGGGATCATTTTCTATTTCCGTGGGAGAATCCATCCCCGTCGCTTCTCATTGAATCCGATTCTTCAGCTTCTGATACTCTACGTCGACATACGTGCGCGTAGCATCTCTCAGAATCTCTCAGATAACGAGATCAATATACATCTACTGCACCGAGCGAATGGGACGAACGAAAAGGAACCATAGCAACAAGCAATCTTACAATTAGCAATCTCGGTCACATTCGTGCAGTCTCTGTAGAAGTTCATAGAACCTCGCCGTTCCGAATTCTCAGAGGCGGAGAACCTTCTAGTATTGACCGCAGCATAATATATACACGAAGAAGAGCGGCGTCGGCAACCACCGCAACATCTAGCGGTCGACCGCTCTACTGCGTCAACTCGGGCACGGCACGATCAGAGAGGTCTCTGGCAATATCCGGTCGTGGTGACTGGTGACGCGTTGAGCGACTGAGCGTTCGCCGTTCGGCCATTTTTGCCGCGTTCGTCCTGGCGAGAGGTCACCTTTTCTCACGCTGTTAGCAAGTGAGTAACAATTTCCATCAAAACGGTCGTGATATTCGCGTCTCGGACAATATATTCAGTCGCGATAATTCCAACGAAGTTTGTTCCCAGCGTTCCTTCTTGCCGATCCCAACGCGCGCTTTTGATTTCGAGACATTTTTCCGAGCCACGTGCTGCTCGTCGACACGTGGCGGGCGGGCGTTCCGTTCTCTCTCGATTCGCGAAATTATCGGAGCCAAAAGTTCATCTCTCTTTCTTTTTTTTTAATTATCCACGCAATTTATAAGTATAACAATTTTCGCTCAGGTGACGAGCTTCCGGCATGGTTAACGGAAGAATTCCATCGGTCTTCTCCAAGACCTACGTCACGCCCAGAAGGCCGTACGAGAAAGCTCGTCTCGACCAGGAATTACGCATCATCGGAGAATACGGTCTCCGTAACAAACGCGAGGTGTGGCGGGTGAAGTATACCCTGGCCAAGATCCGTAAGGCCGCGCGTGAGTTGCTCACGTTGGAAGAGAAGGACCCGAAGCGTCTCTTCGAAGGTCGGTCATGCCATTGCATAGACAGAGTATATTTATACATTTATGTGCTTATGGATATTCCAATTATGTAAAATTTCAGTTACGTTAATGCACTTTAAGTATGCGTGTATTTTTTTAGTTAACTTAAAACGAAATGAAATTACGTGATGAGAGTATTGCTCTTGACACCTCTTATCTGAATGCCTTTGTAGAAATAAGCAAAACGATTTCTGAAAGATTTAAAAGAGATTTTCCCAGATTGTTGTAAATTTTTACACGTGATGCATAAGAGTTTCATTTGCACTTACAGGAAACGCCCTGCTGCGTCGATTGGTAAGGATCGGCGTGTTGAACGAAGCCCATATGAAGCTCGATTATGTATTGGGTCTGAAGATCGAGGACTTTTTGGAGCGACGTTTGCAGACTCAAGTATTCAAGCTGGGCCTAGCCAAGTCCATCCATCATGCCCGCGTGCTCATTCGCCAACGGCATATTCGGTAAAAATAACGATAATACGTTTTCTTTTTTTACTACAGAAAGGAAAACATTTTTTTCCAATTTGAAGAACCGCCTTAAAAAATGGGCAAGAAGTGGCCGAATTATTCTCACGGCGCACTTCTAATCTTTGAGGCAAGATCAAAAGCCTGAATTAATCACCGGTTAAGGTTAGGTACCTTTTTCGGCTTCATATCAGGCTACAAATTTAAACGTTTCACATTATGTGACTGATTTTATTTATTATAATCCTAAATTTTCTGTAATTTTTGATTAAAATCATTGAACGGGAAAATATATCTCAAGGATACCGAGAAATTTGCAATTTTGCAATTACTTTGTTAGGATGTTATTTGCAATATTTTTCTAAAAGAGCAGAAAGAAATTATATTTTAAAATGTTGCAAAATTACAAATTCAATATATGACTTGATTATTCGAATATTTTATAATGTGAAAAATCACGTTATATGTTTCGGCAAAGCCAATAGAAATTTTGTATTCAAATGCATTAATATTCGACGGGATGTCACAAGACAGGATGACAAACGAATTCTGTTGCTCAGGTATCAGGACGATGGCACCTAATTGACCGCATCTGGTTGATCGCACTGGGTCAAGAATTCACTTGTTAACTTAACGAAAATTTGATTCGCGCAGGCCACTTGAGTGCCGTTCATCGGCACTTAACGCCTGTCGAGCTGTCGAGATTCTCTTCGTTCTCGTAGGGAGAGAGAGGGATAAATTTCGGTAGAGAGCCTTTGCCTTTGTTTTTTTTAACGAAAGAATTGCGATTAGCGGCTAAAACGCGAGCCCGAGGGAGATCGTGTGATCAGCAGCGAATCTCTTGTTGCAGAGTGCGCAAGCAGGTGGTGAACATTCCGTCGTTCATCGTGCGACTGGACTCGCAGAAGCACATCGACTTCTCGCTCAAGTCGCCCTTCGGCGGCGGCAGACCCGGCCGTGTAAAGAGGAAGAACCTGAGGAAGGGAAGCGGTGGTGCTGCACCGGAAGAGGAAGAAGATTAAAATAATCTTCCTTATCGCCATTTATATCAATAAATGCGTGGCGCGTGGTAATTTATTGTCTCTTTTGCTTCCTTTCTCGCCTTTTGAATAAAATTACTTCTTTTTAAACATTAAACCTGGAATATATATATATATATATATATATATTCCGGGTTTAATGTTTAAAAAGAAGTAATTTTATTATATATATATATTCCGGGTTTATTGTTAAAAAAAAAGTGCATCAGAAAAATGGAATCTAAAATTTGATTGGAATGCTGTGCTTTATTAAATTTACTGGAAACTACTCTCCTTTTATTCTAAGGATGTACGATAATTAAATTTGCATATATTTTATTACATAAAATTCAGAAACGAAATTTAATTAATTTGGTTATACTGAAAAACTAATCTACAAATATAATCTCTAAAAGTTTGTGTTCAATGTGTTTGTATTCAAAATTTGAAATTATGGACTATTTTTATATAATTTCATCAAAGATCTTAAATTTCGTTTTACAAGAGATATATTAATTGTTTTACGAAAAATTACTCTTCGGTAAAGATATAAATTTTATAAAGATATAATTTTTTCATTGAGTATTTCGGAAATGGGAAATTATATTTGGGCTCTTCGATCTCTTTGCTTAAATTTTATTGTTTAAGTTTTTGTATGCTGTCTGTAAATTTTTAACGATCGGATGTTTTCAAACTAAAATATCAACAGAGCACTAGACAGCGTACGCTTGATCAGAGATGGCACTATAAACATAAAATCTCACTGAAAACATAACAGTGCATAAAGATTATTGGTACTAAAAATATTACAATATAAATAAATATTACAAGAGAGATGGGTCATGTTTTTCTACGATGCAATTTATCCTTGATGCAAGATCGTACGATGCATTAGTTTAAACAACGTCCAGATTACAAATATGCGTGTACAGGATGTACAAATAACAAGATAATAAATACGTGTACAAATAAATGTGTACCGATTTCAGAGGAAGATAGTTTATAAAGCAATATTTTATTATATAGAATAAAACAAATGTATTGCTTTCTTGTACATATATTTATTATTATTCACTTATATATATATCTGGAAATGTAATAAATTGCAACGTATAATGTATCTTGTTACCTTAAAAATACTGGCTAGAGAAGAAAAAAAAATGTGCAGAAAAATATGCGAAAATTTTCATCGATATATTTCCCCTCGGAAAAGATGGATCCTTAAAGGCGCAACCGCTGGGCCATTAAATATCTCCCGTCGCGCGTCACCCTCCATTAGAAGTGTCAAAAACCCCGAACGACGCTCGGAGGGCTCGTAAAAAAGTATCAGGAAAAACTTGTTGGCGAGGGATGCATCGTAAAAGTTAACCTTTGAAGTTGATGAGACTTCATCTCGCTCCCTCAACGCTTTTATCGTTATACATATATCCTTCCGCAATGCAAAAATTATTTCTATCAAGAGAGATAATAAAAACGGTAATGATTATTTTATCGTACGTTGTATTATATTAATAGTTTTAGTATCAATAAACAAATAATTAAGAGTAGAGCCATCTTAACAAGAATTTATAAAATATATATATATATTTTTTTTTTCTTCACTATAAATTTCGTTTCACAATTTTATGTAATGAAATATATGCAAATTTAATTAACATTCATAAAACGAATTTTTAATAAATTCCAATCAATAAAAACTAAACACAGCATTCCAATCAAATTTTATATTTCCTTTTTCAGATGCGTATATATATGTATATTTATGATGACACGCGCGTTTAGATTAATAGTATTATTGGAAAGTGCTTATTTGTCAAGAAACGACTACGAGTGTCATCTCTCGTAGTATCTCGTTTTATCGCATCACGATTATATATATTTATATCTGTCGTCGGTTCGCGCGCTCGACGAACGTGAAGTAGCGCGCGAGTCATCGCGCGCGCGGCAAGTGGCGTGAGTGATGCAACCTTTTGTGCGCGAACGCTGCGCAGTTCACGCCGATGCGCGAATCGCGTTAGCACGATTGTCCGAAGTCGCTCCGCATTTCTTTCGCGTTTCTTTCGTATCCGGCGAGAGCGAATTGCGCGCGATTACATCCGGCGCGATGTACGTACCAGCTGAACGATACGCCGCGTTAATTAGCATGCGCTTCTTCGTAATCGGTATTACTTCGAGAGCGGAGCGTCGCGAAGGAATCGAAGGTCGCGCATATTCACAATGGCTGAGTCGACGCCGACAGTGAGGCGCGCGGGTGAGCAATTTTGTTTGTTGCATTGATCATATTTTCGGTTGTAATTTTACGTTACCCGAACTTTTTGCACGCCCAGATTTATTTCATTTAAGAAAAGAAAAGCATAACATTAAGGAGAGTCCATTATTTTAGAGCTAAATCTCGAGCCGAAATTGCAATACGATTCATTGCGGCGTCGCTAATCTAATCTTTTTTTTCATGTGTCAGACAAAAAAAATTGGTAATTCCACGATAATCAAATACTGCGGGTATTACTTGACGAGTTAATTAAACTGATCAAGTAGGGTACAGCGGGGTAATTTGAATAGTGGGGTAATTTGGATAACAGTATTTGCAAGAATTTTAGAAAAATAAAAGATTTTAAGATGCATTTCATTAGATCAATGTCTGATCTAATGAAATGTATCTTAAAATCTCTTATTTTTCTGAAATTTTTGCAAATGCTTACTGTTATCCAAATTACCCCGCCATACCCTAATAATATTTTGTTTTGTAACATGGATAAAATTGCTAATTTTTATTAACAAAAAAAGACATTCAAATTAGAAAGGATAAAACAATAAGAAATTTATAATTCAAATAACGAAAGAGAGAGATTTTGCAGTAGGCAATTCTGCCGTTTTCATGAATCATCAATTAATTTTTTGTTGACACAAAAAAGAAAAACATTTAAGTTAGGAACAATAAAACAGCTAGAAATTTTAATGTAGATAATTTTGCCGTCTGTATTAATCGTCGATTAAGTTAACTGGAGTTTGGTCGAAGCCGCTCTGATAGACGAAATAAAAAATTTCAAAAACGAGACGAGCTTGAGCTGAACTTCTTCGATTCGATGATGCGAACACATGCGATCGAGATTCGGCTCGTGATTTAGCTCAATAATGTGAATCCTTTAAGCAGCAACGAGCGATCGTTGTGTTACGTGAAAATACGACGCGCAGCGATCGATAATGCGAACGTCTCGTCATTCTCGTCAAGTAAATTTCGCGCGACTGTAGAGTCAAGCCGATCCACCGAGCGCGATCAAATCCGAACGAACAATTTAAGAACCGATTAATTTAAATACCGTTCGTGTGCTCATTGTTGAAGCAGACTTCGTTCACTCGTGCTTGTTCGCGCTCGTCTGACCGGACTTTATCCGATGAACGAATTTTTCACGCGGTACGATTTACGCAAACGAGTTAATTAAAACATATGATATTGATGAACGGTAATCGGGATTATTCTAGTATGGTAACGAATAAGTTAAACAAAATAATAAAACAATGAGGAAATGGTGTTGTCTCTAGCGAGCAAAATTATAGCGAACAAAAGCGAAAACGTACAAATTTTCCGCAATGCACCGAGATCATTAATCACAAAAAATATTCGTGTACGTTATCATGTTCTTCACACAGAACGTATAAATGTTATTCCATAATTACATTATTATTTTACATGCACGCGATGTATAATTACAAAATTCAATTTCGTTTTACAAATATTATCCGTGATGGAGGAAAAGCGAAGCTTTTATTTTTTAAGCTTTTATTTAGCAGTAATGATGTCGAGCGAAACGTGCGTTTACACAGAGTGGCCATTAGTGGGCTAAATAAGTATCTCGTATAATAGAGCAACGTCGAACAAAATAATGACTTGGAAGTATAACGAATTATTGCCGAGTGCCCGGCGGCGGCGGCGTCGCGTAGGACGTAGGTATACGTCCGTGCTCTCTTTTTTCGCCCCCTCGGAATTCTTATATAAAGGGAGGAAGATTACGCGCGCGATCGCGTCGGATCCTTTTTACACGGCACCGAGGGGACGTAATCGAACACCGTCGTCATCGCCGTCGTCGTCGTCGTCGTCGTCTTCTCCGCGCCCTTCGACGTATCGAGGGCTAACGTCTCGACGAGATACACCGTCGACTTTATCCCCACATGGGGCTGACAGTCCTCGTGATGGATAATAGGGCCACCCGCGCCACCTCCTCGGCGCCCTCTTCCCCTCTCCCCCTCTCGTCCCGCGCGCGCCGCGTTCGCCGCGAGCGTGCAATATTTCACGGCTTATTTACTTTTTGGAGACGCACGTCTCTACGGTCAACGCGTCGCGACGCCCCGACGCGGCGTCGCGTAGGCAACGCGGATGGAAATTTCTGAAATTTTCCTTCTCCCCCTGGCATTTTGCAGGGACGACGTTTTATTGGTACGGCACGTAGACGCCGTTGACATTTACACTTCTCGACACGATTTCTTTAACAACATTTATTAGACAAATCTTGTGAAATAATCTATCAATTTTATCGTTTAACGTCGAAGCTTTTTTTACGTACAGTTTTTCCATAAGTTTCTATAGCGTTAACGCATTGTATTTTCTTTCGAGAAAAATGGTTCACAAGATACCGGGAAACAATTTTAGGAAATATCTTAGGAATATGCAGATATAGATGACTTTATGTCATTATGTGTACGATATTATAATCTCTCTATATAATTCTATTTAATATAATACAAAGAATTCATAGTGAAATTCCGGGACGGCCAAGGGAACTTCGAAGGATTCGCAGGACGTGCTCCTTCGAAGCCGGTTACCGGTCGTTCGGAATAGCTCGAGCGATTAAAATGTTCTCTCTCTCTCTCTCTCCTCCCGGGCACTCTCCGCTGATAATTAATTCCGCGTAAATGCGATTTCCGGAAGCGGATTATTTTCCGCGCTCAACGGTACTTAGCACGTATCGCGCGGGTCATTCATAACGCGGACGCGCACGTATTTGCATGCGAGCATAAATAATGCAAGGAAGGGAATCCTGAATTACGACTCGCCGGAGGGAAGCGCGTGCATGTATTTCCGTAAACAACACGGAAATTTCCGGCGTTGCACCGCTCGCGCCGTGACAAGCGAGCACGGGTCTGGAGGGAAATGATCCTCCAATTCGCAACACGGGGGCCCCCCCTGATTCATATTCAATAGTATACGATTCGGCGCAGATGTCACGGATCGATGCTACACATATACACATTCGGCTCCTTGTTATTAATTCCCACGATCGAGAATTAATAATTTTTAATTAATTTTTTTTTAGTCGCAGTTGACGCGTCGCGTAAAGTCGGACCTGGGCAAACGAGCGAGCGCGAACGAATGGGACGAATTTGTTTCGACAAGTCCGAACGGCGTACTCGACAATTTAAGGATGTTACATTTTTTTAAACCAAATTAAAAGTTATCGAAGTTTAAAACGACAAAATAATGACAAAAAATTTTGATCGTGAATACGCCCTGAAACTGCAAACAACAAATAATTGGGTTTACAATGTTTTACGTAGCGCGATGATCATATTTTGCTGCAGTTTTAGATAAATAATACTTTTAAACGAAAGTGAATTCGAATGAATTTTTGCACGTATATTTATTAGAGTTTTATCGATATATGTAAAAAATTTAATTTAATTCGTAATGTGAGACTTTCTCATCAAATTTGCACATAAAGATCACGAAACGCGATTTTACCTAAGAATTATAATGCAAACAAAAAATCAAATAACTTGTAACATTTTTAACTAATAAGAGAATTGTGCTTAAATTGTACTCACAATTAGACATAATAATGGGACAATCTGTGAAATTTTAATATTTTTTTGGTAATACTTTGAAATACGTGACACGTGCATCCTCCAAGCAAATCGTTTGTTTGTTCGTGCTCGTTTGTGGTCGCTTGCTCGTCGAGTCCAAGGACTTAAGGGGAGAATCTTGAACCTCGAGAAAGAATTTGAAAGCAAAGTATTGTATATTTGATCACGTTATTCTATTCCAAGTAACGACCGAACAACAAGAGACCGAAAGTCCGTATCGAGGTCAAAAGGACTCTTTGAGGGCAGGAGATTTGGATCCGCGTTGAAAGTTATAATATGCCTTTGAGGCGCTGATTCGTGTTTCGATATAATTCGCGTTGCATGCCAACTCTCGGTTGGCAATTTTTCATCTCCGTGCTTCCGAAAAATTCGAAAACCGCCAACGGCAAGCGAACAAAAACCAGGAAATTGAACGATGATTGCTATGACGAGGCGGATAAATGCCATACCAACCTTTTTTTTTTTTATTTTCTTCGTACATCCGCGCGATTCGCAATTAAATTCAGTTTTCCGTTAGATTAAATTTTAAAAGAATTTTTTATCGCGCCGCGCGCGTCGAAAAATTTCCGAAATTCGCCGCGCGAAATCCAGAAATTCGTGCCCTTTACATCAGTAAACAGCTAATTGATTCCGTCGCTCGGTTAATTTTTAACGATGATCGCCTTAAATCGTGATCGCTTTATTAAGTGCACCGGTGTGACCGATGAAATTCGCGAAAATAATTAAATATCGCGCAACGCGCCGTATGGACCTCTCCAGTTGGATTGTTTATGGGGCGAATTTGGCAGGAGGAGCGGGGGGAAGGGGCGGACTTCGATTAGTCGCAGCGAGCGGTCTGTAAAATTAATTAGCGCCGTTAAGCGAGCCGAGAACGGGCGAAATTGGCGCGGGAATTCTCGATCTGCGTATTTTCGGGTCCATTATCGGGAAACACGGGTCGAGGCGAGAGACCGACCGACCGACCGACCAATCAACTGATCAGTAGAATATCTCCCTATACGTCGAGTACGAGTATACCGACCTTCATTCCGGCCTTTACCACATTCCACGGTGTGAGTCCTCCTTTCGTCGCCTGACCCCATAAACTCGTACCACATCCAAGATACGTTCTCGGCGAGAAAACGCCGCCGGAGACGCACTCTCGAGTCGCACGGCGATGCTGCGCTTTCGTTATCGTGTATCTATACTTTCGTCGTATGCACTCACCTCGTGTGTGACGCATGTGGCGTATCGTTTTTACCGGTATAATGATAATTACGTTATCGTTTATATTCGCGAAATTGAGATTATTAAATTAATTTAGAATCATCAAAAATTGAAGTAATCGAAATTGATTCCGCGCGGCGCAATTTAATTCGTGCAAAATAATGATTTTTATTACGCACTGCTCACGTACGCGCGACGGTATAATGCTGCTGGTTATTAATCTGATAACGCGATTACATTTTATATAATAAAAATAAAATTGGAGAGAGTCAGGGGGAGAGAGAGAGAGAAAGAGGCGGCCACATTTGTTGCTAAATGTGCGATAAAGCCGCGAGGCATTAAATTTACATTGGCATATATAGTCACACAGTACTTTTTAATTGAATTCCTTCTCTCCTCTCCCGCTCACCCCGCTTCTCGTACCTCTCCCTTGACCGAGGAGGCCGCAGAGGAAAAGTTCAATTAAATGGTGCTCCGTTTTCGATTAAAACTTTGCGGAGTAATTTGTTGTTAATGCCGACTATAAATTGTGTGATAAACTCTTTAAAATAAGCCATCCGGGATCTGAGAGTTTCAGCGGTTCTCAATAATGTACACCCTTCGAAACGTGTATAGTATATGAAAATTCTTATACAATTTATATGAACAAAAATTGCCTTTGTCATAAATTCGAGTCGAGCTTTCAATACAACTTAAAGAATTGCAAGCGAGATCTCTCTTAATTTATAAACGTTTCATCTTTGCGATAAAAATTTTATCATGAGGGAGCAATTCATCTTAGAGAGCAATTTGAATTTAATTTTTCCTGAAGCTATTTTAATATACAATTTCCGAGCATGTTTTCTAACGGAGTTTTCCAGAATAATGATAAAATTTGTCATATTTTATAATAATGATTCATCAAGGTATTCACATTTTATAATGGAAGAGAAAGAAAGTTTTTCAATATTAGAATTACATTCTCTTCGCATTAAAATGTTTGATATTATATATCAAATATTTACTTTTGTATTGTACTAAAATTATAGTTTGAAAATGGCATACGTTTTCTTTTATAAATTACAATTATCGCGGAAATATGTCACATGGAATTTTTTTTATTCGCTTCAAATTTTCATGTTCTTCAAATAAATTAAAGCGATGTCACTTTATCCTCGGCAAAGAAAACCAATGTCGCGCGTTCTAAATATAACAAACTTATTTTAAAAGCGTTAAATAACATTTAGAAGGATCGATTACTCATAAAAGTTCAAATATCGTTATCGTACAGTACACACAAGTTTCCTTGCAAAATCTTATTAAGGTTAATACACAATATCGCAAGAAATTTAATTTTATCTCTCTCAGCTAACGTGACACACCCATGAAGATCCGTTTAGATATCTCTGGGCGAGAGAGCATGCAGCTTACAATGCAGAGAACTTTATTTCCGCGCGCATTCCCGCGTCGTTTCTCCGGAAGAGACTCCGAAACGGATTCGGGAGATTGTGGGGGCGAGAGGGAGAGAGAAAGAGATCAAGCGAGCGAGAGAGAGAAAGAGAGAGAGAAAGCAGGGTATGCGCTGCGGGGAAGATTATTATTTAAACTACTCTCTCTCGAAGACACAAAGGGTTAATGGGTTGAGAGTGTACGCCGGGGCGACTCCGCGCGCGTGCCTATCCCGCCGGGCCGGTGCCGCGCCGAGCCGAGCGCGGCCGCGGCCGCCGAGCGCTCGGCGCAGCAGCTCCCGCGGCCGAGTCGCCGAAGTCGGGAGCGCCAGTGATCTCGCGCGCGTCGTGCCGAGCGGGTCGTCTCTGGTGATCCGTACGCTCTGGTCCGAGGTGAGGTCCGAGCCGCTCCGTTCCTCCCGAGAGCAGAGCAGCGCACCTTCCTTTCCGTCCGGCAGTTTCGATACTCCCCGTCGTCGATCCACCTCGTGGATCCCCCTGGATCCGCTCTCGTCGTCCGACTCGCCGCCGCCGCCGGTACGATCTTGTCAGGTGAGCCGCCCGACATGGGGGGAAAATTACACGGTCACTCGGAGCGCGGACGTGAGCCACCGAGACATTCCCGGACGTGTTGAAATACGTGCCGAGCTCTCTTTCTGTCTCTTTCTCGGCGACGGTTTTTTCTTTTTCTTTTTTTTTTTTCTTATTAAAACCGCTGCGCACGGGTCGCGACAATTTGCTCTGATACCGTCAAGGTAATTATACGAGAAATTGGGATTGAACTCTGATTGGGAGCAATCCTCCTGTGTCAATTCTGGGTTCTGAATTATCGGGATGGAAAAACGCTCGTGGTGCAGGTGAACGTGATGAAATTGTTTTAATTTCGCACAGTCGTAAAAAAATACTCCAGAATGGAAAAAAAGTTACGATAATTGGACGGAAAGAGGGAGGGATAGAGAGAGAAAGAGAGAGGGAGGGAAAAAGAGCTTTTATATCTATTTTCTATTTAAATTGACCGTGAGAACTTTTTAATTTACGCGCGCGAGAAAATAGATCTCCAATACGCGTAAAATGCGCGGAGGACTTTCCCCCGAGTAATCATCATGATTCTCGTGAATTACCTAACAAATAACATATGTACAGATTATAACGGCTCTCTTTCTCTCACCCGTCCTAAAATACGCGTCAGAGAGAAACTCCGTTATTAACCCGCTTACCTCTCGCTTATCTCGTGCGTATTCGGCAGAAGGAAAATTCGCTGCGGCGAATCCATCTGAATCCGCGCACCGCACACGGCCTGTAGCGACAATTGTTATTAGACCCGTGCTGTTTTGCGGCCTGGAATGCTCACGACCTTGTAGGATTCTTGGAATGATTTTCACACAAACGGGGAAAGAGAGAGAAGGAGGAGGAAATGCCGAAATCCCGCTGTCTCTCTTTCTCTCCTTCCCTTCTTTCGCTGGCCTATTGTATACTCTTCTCTATACTGTGTACGTGCGTCTTCTCTTTCCTTTTTATCCGCGTCTTCCTTCTTATATTGTCAGGTTGAACGCGCGAAAAAATACGTGCTGAATTTAGGAGCCATGTAAAACGCGAACGAATTGTACGTGAAGTTTACGCACGAAATATCTTATGTCGACGAAGGAGAAGCCCCGTCGATGCCCGGATATTTGCGAAGTCATGCCGGAGCGCTGCGAAACTAACGAGTACGGAAATACATATTTCCGCGAGATACATCGGAGAATTGGAAATTGCGTAAAGCGTAGATCGCACGGAAAAATATCTCGGAGGTGGATATTCTCGCAAATATCAAGAAGCTCGTTATTTTCTTACGCATAAAAGGAATTGTAAAATTAAACTATAAGAAAGAGAGAGAGAGAGAGAGAGAGAGAGAGAGAGAGAGAGAAAGAGCTAGATCGTGTAACAGGAGAGATTTACATTCGAGAGGAATTCCGATTGAAATAGAAAATGGTATATTAGTTCGTAGATCGAGTGGAAGGGGGATTAAAAAGGTTCGGGGAAAAGATTGGGGGATGGAATCGCAAAACCGCGGGCGCGTCGCGTCGCGTCGTGGATTCCGCTTGGATTACTCGCGAGGAAAATCGATGACGCGTGGCGCGCATTTTCTCTCGGACCCGACGATCATCGTCATCTCGAGGATGAATATTTCATCTCTCGAGATCTCGCGGCCGTCGCCGCGTCCAAATAAGAGGGAAAAGAGGAGAGACCGGGGGGGAAGGAAGGGGAGAAGAGAGACTGAAAGAGGGACATATTAAATTATGAATATTTCATCGACGGAAATCATCCGCGAGCGATTCCGCGTCGCCGATGGAACTCTTCCCTTGGATTTTCCACCTCGTTCTTTTTCTCCCCTTCCTCCCCCTCTCCTTCTCTATTTTTTTTGCTCACCTCCTCTATTTCATCGCGTCTCTTAAAGTCGAGCGCGCAAAATGGCTGGACCCATTTCGCCATTATCGGAGCGGGCGAAAAAAAGAAACAAGAAACGAGAGAGGGGAAAAAAAAGAGAGAGAGAGAGAAAGAGAAATGTATAAGCGTGAGGCCGAGTATTGAACGGTACCGAATGTCAGCTGCAAATCGGAATTTATGTCCCGACAGATAATTCACCGAGGCCGGGGTCCATTGCAGCTCGTAATTCGTTGTTAACTCTTTACTGCGTGCGATTTCCGTCACACGATGTAAATTTCTTTCTCTCCTATACCCGTTCTGCTCGCCATCCGCTCTCGCCTACTCCGCGGCGTTCTATCGCAGTTCCATCTTAGTTTGCGGTATGTAAACGCGCGCGTTTTATAGTCTCTCTCTCTCTCTGCAGTTGCTGCAGTTCACGCGGATATGTCCCGGCTTTGGCCAATACGCAGGAGATACGAAAGAGATACGAATTGGAAACAGGAGCGTAAACAACTAGCTATATTGAGGATCAAATATAGCTATAAAATACAGTCGATTTTATTATTATTTAAAATACACACGCAAGAAATGGTTTGCATCCCCTCGAATTGTGCGCAGCAAATTTGTGGATTTATCGAATTTATAAAAATCCTTGTCCAAATTTCCGAATCTTTCCCAGCTCTGTTCTTTATTTATTTTAAATCTTTTAATGAGATTAATTTAATACTTCGAATGGAATTAACGTTTTGTACGCTAAATTTATTTACGTTTCCGACGTCGAATTTATAAATTACATGGGCGCGTGAGTGTGAGCTACATGTGATTACGCATCCTCCTGATAGAGAAGCTATCGAGTACCTATAGGTACTTTGTCGAGAGCGAAATGGCAGGATGCGCGGCGCATACACGCACACACACGTCACACACACACACACACACACACACACAGTGCGAAAGGGGTTAAAGAATAGTTTCCCTCCTTTCATTATTGCAATGAATATGGGCGCTGCACCCATATTCGTTTTTGCAGTCCAGGCTTTTTTGCGTTCGAAGGTTAATTAACGTCCCTGAGGATTTCTTTGACGGGTGCGGGATAAGGGAACGTCATCGATGGATAAATAAAGCAAAAGGGCGGAGCCCTTTGAGGCGATAATTAAAGCTACGACGTAAGAGAGGGAGGGGAACAGGAAGAGCACAAGTGTAAAAGGAAGGAGGGGGGAGGAGGAGGGAGGCTTTGAAAGCCAAGGATGTTTTAGTACTCGCGGAGAAAAGAAAGGGATAAAACGGTGCTGCTGCAGCTTTCGAGGTGCGTGTGCGTGGCGCCATTTTTTTTCTCGCGCCAATTTACAGCTCGTGGAATCTCGTTTATAGAACTAGTTCTATAAGGCTTCCCGCGCGCCCGTCTCGCTGGCCTTGAAAAAGGAAAAATACACCGCGTCGTTAATAAACTCGCTCCCGATATTGCACGCGCGCGCGCACACGCTCATCATTAATATCGCCTCTGTGCATATAAGATGCATTGAAAAGTGGACGAACGTTGCGCATTCCTCCGGCCAGTTGTTTTCCGATTGCAAATTTTAAATGTCAAACACTTCGATGCTCAACGATGACGAAAGAGGAAATAAAAAGTACACGGCCTTGGCCATAAGTATGAAGCATCCTCGATTTATTTATCGCATTTTCTCGGAAAAGGTGATAGCTAATAAAAGCCAAAGAGGAGAACTAAACAAAATATTAAAATTGCTGTGAAAACAAATATATTATTTCTGCAATAAAACCATTTTTAAATTACTTTTCGTCAGATATAGAACGTTTGCGTCAATTTATGGAGATTGGCTTTGTATTTATGGTCGTAATAGAAACTTTTTATACGTATTACGCAAGACAAGTCTTGAAGCAGTCCTCGATTTTTAAATTAGCCAGCGAAAAGGCCTCGCGCGAGGCTCGCTTTTAACGCGGCGCTTCTTCCCTTTTCAACGTGAGATCCGCGAAATTCTTTCAACACGCGTCAAGGATTCCTTCGCCGGGATTCATTCACGAGTTCGCATTGAAGTCGCGACTTCCACGGAATGCCGTTTTGTCCGGCGGTTCTGTCGTAACGGTTGTAGAACGGTCCCGATGTCCTGCGGGCAGGAACTCCCGGTTGCACCTGCGGCACGTAGGCGTTAGCGCGCGCGGTTGTATGGTTGTAGAGCGTCACGTTAATACGCGATAATACGCGGCGTTATATGGATATGCCTGCTCTCTTTTACGTTCCTTTCCTTTTTCTCTTCAACACCGCGGACCAATAAGTTTCAGAATCGCTGATCCGTAAAATAGGAGTAAAAAAACTGTTTTCAAAGAACGGATGTAATAAACGCCGAGAATAAATTGATTGATTCAGGAGCAGATAGAAAATTAGATCACGGAGTTAGATAATTTTACTTTTTTAATAATTGAATATGGGTAGCCTGGTAATTGAATTAAGTGAATAAAGATAACATTTGTGATGCATGGTACTTGATATTTATGGTTTGACATGTATGGTACTTGAACATTTTATTTTAAATTTGTATAGTAGCTGAAAATTTTTCAGAGAGAGTAACAAACAGATATTTTAAATACCAGATTTTTTATATGAATTTATTGACTGTCGCCTTGTTGTTAGAAAAAAAATGTAATCTTTATAAATTAAAAGTTTTTGTTTACTAAAATATGAAGGAATTATCTAATTGATCCAGTCGACTTCGACAGTGTATTTCTCAATCAGTTATCAATTACTCCTCGGCACCTCAATTATCAATTGCTCCATCGCGTTCGACTAGCACGCATAGTTTATGCAAATGTCGTTTCGATAAGTCAGCTCTTGGAGAAAGCAGACTTATAAATTCCATAGGAAAAGCAGGCGAGGATGCGATTAGGTGGGGAGAATGAAAGAGGCGTGAGAGGATACGGGTTGCCGACCGCTCTAATAAACATATTCACGCCGGTTGTGATGTAACAATGCGGATCTCGTAACGAAGAAAGTAACGCGCGAGCGACGCGCGACGGCGTGTGCAAGTTCGATGCACCGATGCACGTGATTGATAGCGGGTTATTCGAGCCGCTGCGTGGCGGCTTCCGAAAACGCGATTTCGGACAAACAATGATTATCGTCGAGAGTATTTCATATTTAACAGCCGTGTATTTATCCATTAATCTGTTTGACTTTCTACCGGTTGTGTTTATAATTAATAGAATTAATTATTAAATTAATGTAATTTATAACTAATACGCGCCGCGATGCGCATACATATACATGCGCGAATGTATAACTGAAGAACGTATCCATAATACCAACATATTATTTTACACATTATTAATTAATTTCATTGTTATATTGCCTATTTTATGACAAACGCAATTCAACGAGCTATAACGGCGTGTAACGTCATATAACGGTGCTTCAGTTTTCTGTCCTAACTTATTTATGAGTTTATTTACTCGTGCGCGTTTTATCCTTCCGCGGCCCGCGTTCGCCGTTTCGAAATCTCCGCCGCCAAGAACCCTATCCGGGTATACCGATACACACTTTGATATTAGCAATCGAGCGCGAGCGTGAAGGGAAGGAGGAGAGGAGGGCGGGAGGTATCGATATTTTAAAGCGTCCCCCTAGTCACGTCCGCCTGTTAAATTCGCGAAAGTTTGCAGAGCGCGTCGGTGATTAGAGAGATTAAAGGGAAACATTTTATCGTAAACGATTCGAGAGAATTTAATTCGCTTGAAAGCTTTCGGGGTGAGCGAGCGTTTGCGAAGTTGCGTCGGTGATATTCGCGAACGAGCGAATTCGCGCGGCCAAGAGAGAGAGAGAGAGAGAGAGAGAGAGAGAGAGAGAGAGGCGAGGGAGGAGAGGGAAAGAGAGGCAGAATGAGGTGGAGAGCGCGCGCGTTTTCGATAGGCCGCGTTGAATTTTGCGGCGCTTTCATCGTTTAATCGAATCTTCCGCGCTGCGTATTGAGATCGCGATCGAAACACCCCCCGCTCGCGCGCACTGCACGCGCCGCCGCGTCGCGCTGCATCGATCGACGAGCGGAGTTTAACAAATCGTAGCGCGAGCGCGCCGTTATTCGCAACATTTCGTTCATCGAATCACGGCGATATCGTTTGATTACACATTTCGAATGGATTGATAATTTCGGCGACGGAAGAGCCCGCGTTCCTGCTGTGTTCCCGGGAACTTTTTTTCGCCCGTTCTTGATTTTTCTTTTTCTTTCTTTTTTTTTTGGAATTTATCTGGCGAAATTTAATTAAAAATGACGTGTTCGTTGATTATCTCGTGTTTGAAGATTACCTTTTCTCTCACCTCTCTCTCTCTCTCTCTCTCTCTCTCTCTCTCTCTCTCTCTTTTTCTTTTCCTTCGCCATCGATACCAATTTAATATATGAAACGTGAAAAATAACGGGCAACAAACTGACAAATTACTTGGGGCGCCAGGATTATTGATAAAGTTTAAACAGCCCCGGTGAACTTTGTGAATTCGGAGTCGCGCGCGGATTAATTTATGAAACGTCAATTTATTAATTAAGCACGGCCGGTCGGGCACGGAGTGAGTCGAGCAGCCGCTTTATTATTAATCGGTCTATTATGTTACATACGCCCCGCGGAGTCGCGCGGCCGATTGATATTTCGTTTGCAGTCACCGGGTGCTCGCCTCTTTCGTATTTCGCGCGTGACACTCTCACAACCGCGCCGCTCGTTTCTCGTCGCGGTGTCAACGCGTCGCGTCGCAATTGCAATTATTTTACGATAGTTTACCTTTGGCGTCCTCGCTAAAATAATATATAGTTTGCCTTTGTACACCTCGCTAAAACAACACGCAAAAATTCGCTTGGCGCGTTACAAATTACGCGTGAAACGCGCGGGCGCGGAATTTTTCTTAATACATCACGAGAGTTGGGAGATATTTCTTTCTCTCTCTCTCTCTCTCGATTTCTCAGACAAACAAGTTTTAGCAAAGATCCGTCTGTTTCCGTCAGCGACACGCGCGTGAAGTAATGCATTATCGAATCGTCCGCGTCGGCAACAGAAATTTAATACTGGAAGGCCAAATAATTACTTATTTTGTTTTATTCTATTAAAAGTACTAACAAACAATGCTTTTAATACTCAAAATAATTCTTTGGCTTTTTCAATATTAAATTTCTGTATAAGAAGTGCTCGTAAAAAAATTTTGAAAACGTTTGCGTTTTACGTTGCTGATCTTTCTTTCACATCGTTTACCGTTTATAGGAAAGCAATGGATTGAACAAATCCATTGGTGCATGAGATCTCCGATAATTATATTTTTACATGTAATTAACGAGAGATTCAGCGCGCGCGTTCCCCGATCGTCGATCCGTGAACAACTTTAACGCGGTGCGGCCCGTAGATCCGCGTCGGGAGATAAAAGCGGGGCGAAGTTATGCGGCTCTCCCGTGGCCGCTCGCGCATACCGGGTGTCCTTGCGGAATGAAAGTACTTGGGAAACGTGACCTCTCCCGTTCCATGTATATGAGTAATGCCTAGCCTGCGCTTAGGCCTAAGCGGCGCGCGGCGCGGCGTTCCGAGATTCCAGCCGACTGGTCACAATCGAGCGAGGAATGCGCTTTTCTATTAGCGATCATTATCATAAAAACGTACTAACAGATAAATAGCTAGGTGGATACGCGTAGAGAAATGCCAGTGGAGTCAAAGACCTGCGAAAGAATTTCGCGAGGATGTGCGTATTTAAAAAAAAAAAAAAAAAAAAAAATACTCGTAAGAGTCTCGCGCGGAAGATCCGCGTTTATTATTAGACATTGATCTAATTTAAGGCGCGCGATGTGTTCGAATATTGTTGCAGTTATTATTTTATATTTTACGATTGGCATTTTATGTATCCCTCGTTTTTTTTTCACGCTCCGTGTCGTCAAGGTAGAAAAATACGAGAGGCTTTATGAGAGGCTTCCAAGTTTAGTTTACTGCAAATTTATTAAATTGTACCGTACAAATTGTATTTATTTTAACAAACATTCGCGCGGAATTATGTGACCTAATCTAATCTGTGCCGTTCGATCGGTTTTTCTTCTCTTTTCAGCGATCGGGAGAGCGCGATAAGCGCGTCGAACGCGCCGTCGAGCGATCGAGCACAGGAAAGCGGGACGGGCCACGTGAGATCCGGTCTCGGGAGGACGGGAAAATATGAGCATCTCGTGAAGCCCAAGGAAAGCGGAGTTTTCATCATGGAAACCGAGGAACTCACCAGGCTCGTCGACGAGATCTACAAGGTGAGTAACGACGATACCTTTTCGACCGAGCAAGCAGATCGACCGGCCCGGACGGTCGAGGCGCGCTTACTTTCAATTATCCGGACTTAGTCATGCCCGGATTGTTGAGGAAAACGCAAATTTCACGTTGAGCATTGGAAAGTATAGTTGAAATAAATGCGATTCCCAGCCACGATTATTGAAGAACGAAAGTGCATTTTCGTATCCGTAATTGCACGAAAACGACAGGAATTTGAATTTCTTCGCAATAGTTTTATCGCGATTTTATCAGAAGCTCCTCGCCCGCGATAAGTTTCTTCGGAATCCGCGTTTTTTTATTATTTTTGGAGGATTGTTTACATGATTGGCCTCGTAATCAGGCTCTTCAGAACGTCAGGACGGCCGGCATAATTATCGCGGCGGCAACCGGCGCGGCGTCTGGGGTGGAACGCCTCGTTACGATCCTGCCGGAGATTGCATCGAAATAACGAGGTAACCGCCGGTTAACCCCGTTATCGCGCGGCCGGGAGAGTTTATGGGGTCCCGTCGCTGACAAGCGAGCCCCGTGGCGCGAGTATATCACGCTGCGCGCAGTTATGTTTCAGCGGGGTTATTCAGCCAGGTGTACCGAAGGGTGTAGAAGGGACGGGGGGGGAGGGGCGCCCCCGCGGTAGATATTAATTGGCTTCCGATCTACACGCAACCCCCCTTCTCGCGCGTGCCATCGGTTTTCGTGTGTCGAGGGTGCGTGCGGTGGAGTACGGGATACGCGCGGGAGGGTGTGCACCGTTACAGAATGTCGTTCTCCCTAACCGCACATTCCTTGGCTGACGTATATACATGTGTATACATAAAATTATATGTAACATATAATATATATATATATATATATGTATATATATACAATTAATTAATTTTAGAAAATCGATAATGGATGGATTAATTCGCCGCGAAATATACACACTCGCCTTGGGCATATTACATTTATTATACAAAATACGTAAAACAAAGCGGGCAAATGTGAAATACGAGACGTGTATTATGATGTACGGCGTTTACCTCAGCGGTGAAAATTCCCCGACATGTTTGACGATTCTCGCAAAAATCAACGCGGTAGAAACTTGTGCATTACGCAGCCACTTAATATTAGCGCGCGACTCCGTTTTCTTCCCGCTTTCTTTCTGTTTGTAACTTCGTGCTTCTCTCCCTCGGCGCGCAGGAGTTTCGCGAAGGAGTTCCGCCTGGACGATTCAGAAAACTTCGTTTACACACTTACAACGCGCGCGCATTCTCTCAATCTCCGATGCGGAGGAGGAGTTTTCCCGTCGCGGAATCGATGGATTTTGGGATCGTTGAGTCGCGAAATCGCTCGGCTCCGAAAAGCCGAGGGACGAAGTGCATATCTCTCGCTACATTTCCGCGCGACGTATCGGCTGTACCTACCGGTGACGTCCCTCCCTTTGTCGCCTGGGCCCCGCGAGGTAACAGTTAAAAAGGAGGACACGTGTTAACGATCGGCCGGTCCACGTGGCTCAACGAGGTCGCGCTCGTTATCCATGTTCATTAGAGCGTTCATTACGACCACTTGTCGCCCTCGCCGTCTCCCTCCCCTATCTGGACAACCCCGGAGTCCTTAACGGCTGAGAGGATTAATTTTTAATATATATATGTATCTCTCTCTCTTTCCCTCTCTTCTTCTCTAGCTCCCCTCCGCGAGGAAGCGCACCCGCGGTGAATTAATCTTTCTTTTTTTCCGCTCCTGCCGTCGGAGGAAAAAATTCATTAGCATGTCGCAATATGGCGCTATTCGGCGCAATAAGCGGCGGCGCGCGATATCCGCTGATATCTGCGTCTCCTCTACTTCTTTTTTCTCCTCTCTTTTTTAATAAAGTGATCTGCGTCTCTGTTTCTCTCGTCCTGGCCTGACTTATGGCGAAGAAGCCAGTTTCCACGTTTTTAAGGGAAAAAACGCGATCGAAATGTGAAGATTTATATTTATATTTTAATAAATAATTCAACGTTGCATTTTTCATAAAAATTATAAGAAACTTTTATTGTACTTTATATAGAGAGAAGAAGAGAGATTTCTTCTCTTTTTCTGCTCCTCCTTATAAGTATGCGTTATAACTTGTAAATTACCTTACTCGAGTTGTAAAAGAGATTAGGAAATATACATCGTCAAGTGGCTCTCTCACGCGATTATGAAAATGACTCTTTAATTTCGAGGAATTTACAGCGGAGTATAGCGATTTATTAAGGAATGGCCGTACGTGGTCTATCTCGAAGCATGCATTATACATTAACGTAATCGGAGAATGGGCGCGTGATTTAAATATTTCTTGCATTAATCAAGGGCGGGCAACGACGAAGTTCATCGACCGTAACAACGTTTTTTACAAAATGTCTTCCCCCGAGTTTGATTTATTTCAGTGCTGCTGCAACTCCCCCGCGACGGCGGCGAATGCTTAGACGCGATAACTTTTGGCTTAACGATAAATATTATGACAACGAGTTGCGTCGCACGTAATTTGAGTCGCGCGTAAACAAAACGCGGCGGGAAAAACGGGGAAGAGAGAAATAGCCGATCGATCATCGAGAGTAACCGTAAATCCTTGCAATTGCGCAGTATTCATGCGGCGAGCAAATCCGGCAATTTACTATGAAATTATTTGTGCTTTAACGTTTCGATCTCTCGTTGCGAGGAAAAAAAATGGTCGAAATTTTACGGCCGAATTCGGGAAAAGGGAAATCCGGCGGCGCGGTTGTTCTGATCGCTTTCAATATTATATTGTTTTAGCGTCGTGTCGTTTATGTATTTCGCATTTTACATTATCAATGGCATGTCCGAATCGAACGCAGATAAAACACAATAAAAACGCAATGAAAACTTTAAATAAAATTATATTTGGAGAGTACTTGTTTATCATTTATCCGTAATTTCACTCTTTTATTTATTCAAAATTAAACATATATTCCTTTGTTTTTCGGCGCGTATTTTTTTCAATAAAAATATTCATAAATATTTTTATGAATGTATACATATCAATAATATATCTGTAATGTATATATGAACACTTTAAAATAAAATTTCACAGGACTTTTAGAGAAAACAGATACTCGCCAAATGGAATAAATTGAATCGTCAGAATTTTTCTTATCGGACAAACAATTTTCTGTTTTGATAATACAGATGATTTATTTTCTATAAACACATCTATGTCTTAGATAAATCAATTTTTCTAATTATTTCACGTATGAAAGCATTGAAGTACAATCGAAAAGAGTATTTTATTTACTTTAGAGTATTTCTCATAGTGTTACATAAAATGTAAATAAAATACCGTTTCAAATATTTATCTTTTTATTTTGTCATAATATTTTTGTGTAAAAAGTGACAAAAGGAACTGGTTTAGTAAAAAAAGACGTATAATTTCATGCAAAAATGCGAGAAGAGTCATTTGCATCACCAAAACGGAAAATTATCTCTGTCTCCAACATGATTAATTTTTCGATTTATGTCAATTAGATATTTTTTACTCACATCCAGACAATATAAAGTTCAAAATCGTGACATAAGACGTCTTATAAATATCTAAAAAGCATTTAAAAGATCTCTAAAAGACATCTCATCTTAAAGATGTCTTGCATCACAATTTTGAACTTTATATTGTCTGCGCAGTCAATCTGGTTAGCACTATCTATTGTCTTGAAGTTTTGAAATATTTTTTTCAACACTCGATACGCATTTAACATCGTCATGCATCGATTTTTTTTCGGCTCGTTGCTCACTCGATTTATCGAAAAAAAAACTCGCGCAGAAAGAATGAGGGGCGGCCCCCGCGCGCGCGCGCGTCATTGGCGTAAAATATTCCGGTGGAAATCAAACAAGGGGGTGGACTGCATAAACGGGGGACTGAACTCGCGGTGCATCTGTCGGCGCGGCCTGCGGAATATCCGGAGTTATTACATGTCCGAATTGCAAGGTAAATATTTCGCCGGTCGGTGGCGTGCGCGCGCGCTATTTTGCATCGGACGCGGGATAAAACGCCCCTGCGTTGACGAAATCAAGATGTAAATATTGCAATAAAAACCGTGACGCTTCAAAACCGTGATGCGCGCACGTGACACCACGGGGGGGATCGATCTCTCCCGGGGAGAGAACGTCGCGGTCGGCGCGCGGCGACACGGTATACCACCGTTATATCCCCATCACACACGAGAACGCGTCCCATTATACGAACGTTCTTCATGCCAAACGTCACTTAACTGTTAATCAACAATTTGGTTACGAACAATGTCCAATAACTATAAATCTCGGAGTCGCGATAAATGTCAAGCAAGTATTACGTGAGATTATCGACAAGGCGGACCCAAGCGCGGACTCTCTGTGCGTTACTTCCCTCTGTATCGAGATCTCCCTATCCGGGGAGATAAAAATATCCGGGAATAAAAAAAAGATCTCGCAATGCCGATGGCGTTCATTAAACTTTTTATCCGATGAAAGGTTGAAATCTCGGAAGGTCAAGTTTGTCGAATTAAAATTCGACGCGGTGTAGAACAGTGTAACATGCAAATTATTTGTCTCTCTCTCTCTTTTCTCTCGTATCTCTGTAGTATCTCGGCCTCCTCTCATCCCCTTCACCGAGGCTTCGATTCAAGGATACTCTTGGCAGGGAAATATACTACGGTTTTATGACGCGCGCGGATCAAGCCGGACAGAGACGAGAGTGTGCGCCGACGAGAGAAAGAGAGAGAGAGGAAAGAAGTTTGTTACGCGAGGAAGAGGGAGAGAAAAAGAGAGAGAGAGAGAGAGCGAAAAAGAGAGGAAGAGAGGGGGGGGGGGAAGGGAAACTGAGAGGAGGAATGTAGATTCCATCCACCGCGCCCAGGTCGAGATGGTCGCTCATAAATATTCATACGGGATTCCTGAAGCCAGGAAAACATCCATTCCTGCAGAAGCGCACGTGTGCCCGCCGCGCTCTCCCCCGCATCCTCGTGTGCATTCGGTAATTTTGCGGCTG